TCGTTGCTAAATGCAGTGCAAATACGATCAATAAATTCCACCTACGACAGTTGGACGTTTTTATGCTAAAAGGAACTATGTGCATAGGGTTTGAGTGTAACATAGTTCCTTTTAGCATAACTACGTCCAGTTAGGACGAGGCGTGGCGAGCACTTTCGGAGCCTTAGCGCGGGCAGTCGGAGTCGAAGCGCACACACGTGAAATGGAAGCGCTTATTAAAAGTTGGATGAGTAAGGCTGATTCCAAAAATAAATTGGGTCATTAATGCTCTAAAGATAGATGCGAGACCTGTGTCGATATCCGCTTCATTTATTTATCCGTTCGATCCACCCTCGGAACCGAGAGTGTTCTGCCGCGCTCAGGAGAAACGCCATATCAACACTTAAATATTGCCAAATTTACGCCGATAAAATACTTATTTTTGATGAAAAGTTCCGTGTATCTTTCTCGAGGCTTTCAGATACGTCAAACCAAATTACTAGGAAAATTCTCTGAAACAAATGAAAATAAATATTTTGAAGTCTCCCCCAAAAAATCATGTTTCATCTGAGGGAATTTGGCAGTGTCTGAAGGTACATAGTATGTTCTTCCTTAGCACAGCAGTATTGCTGTGGCGCCGTATCTCTCCGATTGGTTTCACCACCCTGTTCCAGAAATTTTAAAAAAACGGTGGGAATATTCAATGTTACTTGTTCGGTCTACGATACGGAAAGGGCAGGGCAGGTGCAGTTTTTTGGACCTATTTATCAACTTTTTAAATATGCAAAAAACTTTTCGCGTAACTAATTTTTCTTTCCAATATTATTACTTTAAGACCACATAGCCTGGGTTTGAAGGTACATCGCATGATAAGGGTGGTATTCAATGTCCGAAGTAGGATCTCCTCTTGTTTTTCCCCACAAATAGTCGAAAGCTGGCAACTTTCCGCTCGTAGTTAAATTACAAAAAATGAGTGCATTTCCTGAACATTTTCAGAAAGTTACCTATTCTTAGCTATTCGTAGGGGGAAACAAGAGGAGATCCTATTAGGTGCTTCAAGCGTTTTTCAAACTTTTTTAAATTATACGAGTGTCAATTTATTTATTCGTGCGAAAAATCAGGAATTCCCGTCTAATATTTTAGGAAAAATCAGGAAAATTTAAAATTTAATTTTAGTAGACATCCTGTAACCACACGGAGAAAAAAAAAACGTGCATGGGACCCGAAGTTGAGGTCATATGGATCTCTGAAGTTTTCTAATCACGCATCCGAAAACTTGAGGTCGAGCTGCCAAAGTTAGGGTCGGACATCGAGGCACTTCGGTATGTACTAGAGTACTTCAGATGTGTTACCCAAACCGTTCGGTATATATCGAAGTACTTGAGATGTCTGACCCGAGCTTCGGCAGCTGGACCTCAAGTTTTTAGATACGTGATCCAAAAACTTTAGAGATCCATATGACCTCAACTTTGGGTCCCACGCACGAAGTTTTTTTTCTCCGTGCAGTTCTCACCTTCGCCATATCGTTGGATTTATGGTGAGATTGGCCTCGTCCCCGAAAATCCTTGAGTTCCTGCCCCACGACCCGACCCCTCCCCCCGAAAAAAATCGGAAACGAAGCGCATTCAAGCAAATGGTCGACGAAGACGAGGGCAAGCGTTGTCGGTAGTGTCCGATCGGAAATTCTCTGCATTCTCCGCATCGCCGCGGCCGCATCTTCGCTCTTGTTTCCAAATACGGGTGCTCGTGCCGGCCGCTCCGGTCGCGGCCCCCGGCCAAACCGCGCCTCCCCACGCGCCATTTTTCGGCCAGGACCGTTCCATCATACGACCTCGTGCGGTGCCCCCCGCGAATGTGTTTTCCAGAGACAAGAGACCCTCCACTACTGGTCTCTGGGCGACGGGTGGAAACTTTTACTTTCGGGGATTCTACACTTTCTCATGGACTATGGACTTCAGCTAAAGCAAAAAAATAGAGTATTTTGTTTTAGAAAATGGCCTAAATAAGCGCAGCGGAAAAATCCGAGGTACACTCCTAACTTCACAATCGGCGCAAGAAATATGCTTTTTTTTAAAGCTTCTCACTTCAAAAACGATACTACTGATGAACTCGGTCCAATTGGTCAAACAGTTCCTGCACCGCTGATGAAGGGCTCACTTCTCTTAACCCATAGCCTACGGCTTCTTGTCTCAGCAACTTGGTCAAACTTTGGGCACAGTACTTGGACTATTGAGATTTCCGTGGGGTTTCGCGTTGACTGGGACATAGCTCTGCGGTCTACCGTGGTTGGGTACTGGCTGGTGATCGCACATCATGACACCGAACAGACGACTCACGAGTGTAATGTCAAGGCCAAAGAATGTTCCTCCCCTCACTCTGCCGTCATAGCGATGAGAGCAGAAGTGCATTCTTGTATATGAGCCGTGATTAGCACATGCTTTTATGTATATCGAGGTTTATCCCGACATGCACTTACTGCTCTCTTCGCTATCACGGCAGCACTGTTGCCGACTCCACGGTGCCAATGCCGGTGCACTAAGCTCCTGTATAAGTACAAGTTCATGTGTAGAAGTGCACAAGATTACACTAAGGAAGAACGCCGTATGAACATTCGAGAGTTACCAAATTTCCTTCAATTAATTTTTTCTTTTTGAGGAAAGTTATGAATATTTTTCCTTGAAATTTTCAGGGACCTTAGGTGAGACTGCGAACAAAATCATTTGAAAAATTGGAAGGAAAATATTCATAAGTTTACCAGGAAATTCTTGTTTTATCAAAGGAAATTTGGCAACGCCTGAAGGTTCATACGGCGTTTCTCCTTAGCGCGGCAGTACAGATCGCTGGTGAAAAGTATGAGTGACGCACATGGCCAATGAAAGGTTTAAACCATTGCGTCCAGGACCGGGAAAAAGCGGGATGCGTCAGGGAATAAAAATTTCCCAGGAAAATCAGGGAATCTTTTCCTGAATCCGGGAATGTCTTCCCCTACGACGTGAAATTTATATGACTGCACTTGAGCTGCCACATTATTGACCTCTCGAATGACATCTTCGAATCTTCAAATCATCAAAATAATAGAGAAGTAGAGCAAAGACCAAAAAAGGCAGCCCGAAAAGGAAGTAATAGGATGAAACCAGAAAACGGCGAAAACAAGGCTAAAAACATACACAAATCAGCAGGACGTTTCGGTGTCTCACGATACCATTATCAATGAGAATGAGAAATAAATTAAAATAAAATAAAACCAGCACACAACGGCGGATTTTCACGGCAATTTATACGTATAGACAGTACAGAGCCGTGCCAAAGTTTCTTTTTTTTTTTTTAATTGCTGAGAGAAAAGGGGTTTTTAAAATGGGAGGGCAAAGAACTTTCCGCATCCCTGCTTCCTTTTCTCCCTCTCGCCCCTTTCCTCCGTTTCTTTTTCCTTTTCCTTCTTTTTTTGGCGCGAGGGGCAGGTCCGAGAATGGATGGAGAAGGAGACGTAGACGTCCGGATTGACGGGACTTTATTTTAAGAACGGGAAACTCCGTTGATGGCAACAGTTCTGCCGTGCTAAGGCAGAACGCCGTATGAGCCTGCGAGAGCTGCCAAATTCCCGTCGATAATCTGTTTATTTTGAAGAAAATCATGAATATTTTTTCTTGAAATTTTCAGACACTTGAGATTAAATCACTAACAAAATTATCTGAGAAATTGGCAGAAATATATTCAAAAAATTCTCTGAAAATGAGTGATTTGTGAGAGGAAATTTGGCAACGCCTGAAGGCTCATACGACGTTTTCCCTTAGCACGGCAGAGTTGGAGTCGGGCGATTCGCGATGAAAACTCCCGGTTCCGAGCTGCCCGGTGCCTGGAGTCGGAGCGTTGCCGTCGCCGTTGTCGCAGGGGTGGAATCCCGAAAATGTCGGCATTTTTTCCACTCGCGATTCGCGGTTGCGGCTCTCAAAGTTTCGGGTTGTTTTTAGAATCCCACGTCACCGCTACTCCGTCGCGCCGATCGCTATGCTCGCAGCAGGCTGCAAGTTTAACTCCAACAGTGCTGCCATTTTATTTACCATAGATGCCAGGGTTCCCGAAATTAATTCAGATTTCCTAAAGTTCCGGGAAGTGTCCCGATTCCTTTCGAAACCCTGCTAATTTATTTGCTCCCTATCCTTGTCTTGATATAGGGATCGACTCTCAGGGTAGCGTAGGATATCCCTTCCATTACGGACTCAATTTTAACAATTTTTTTGAGCTTCGGAGTTGATTTCAGAGAAAACCAGTAGCGCCATCTTGTTTCTCGCAAACTTTTACTTATGAATCAGTACTTAAATTTCAAATTTCAGACACATGCAAGAGCTACCGAGCTACCAACAAAATCTCTCATTTCCTGAGAGCACTGTAATTTCGCATTGCGTCAAACACAGTGCGTTCAGCACCGCTCGACGTGAAACGCAAAGCGCCTACAAGACTGTAGGAATACTTCACGCATTGCGTCAATAACAGTGTGGTCAGCACCGCTCGACGTGAAACGCATAGCGCCTACAAGACTGTAGGAATACTTCACGCATTGCGCAAAACACAGTGCGGTCAGCGCGGCGCGGCGGCGGAAGTTAAAATTATTAAACCACATTTATGTTTGGTTTTGCATAATTTTTTCGTTCATTTCTTATAAATAGAGGGCATTGTCCACACAGAGATAGGTTTATGGAACTTAACTTTCGCGCTAAGTTTCGTGAAATTTTGCTGGTAGGGATTTGCTGGTGGCTTTCGCAAAAAATGTGTCCAACACGAATAAACGCGTCTTATGCACCCCTACCCCTCCGGCACGTTCACTTGATGGTTTTCATTGATGTTTCAAAACGAATGATAAGAAGGCGGCAAAATACAGGTGGCCCATGGGCGGCAAGTAGGTGAATCCGGCCCTGGATGTGCTTTCCCTCTATTATCCTATTGTAGATTTTGGCAACTTTTTAACGCGTCGCCCGATCAAGGATTCATTACTAATCGATTTACTATTATTTTTGTGTTGACAGCTCAACATATGCAGAGGACACTTTCTGCTGGTGCTATACTGCCAAGCGGTTGGCCGCCCACTATCTCCTCGACGACCAACAGTCAAGCCAGTCAACAACAGCTTCGTCTTCAGTCGCTGCAATTGGAAAGAGAAAAACTCAAAGCTAGGCAAAGAGAGATTTTCCGTCAAGTAAGTAGAATAGTGTCTGTTATATTAGAATGGGTCTGTTGCACGCAAGAGATGCAGCCAAATGAACCAAATGAATTTATTTCATTTGGCTGTATCTCCTCGAAAAATCGTAAAAATCACGAAAAATCGGAAAATCTTCTCTGTAAAATCACACGAAAATCACGTTACGCACGTCAGAGAAGTCTGAAATCCATTCTGCCGTGCTGAGGAAGAACGCCGTATGAACATTCGAGGGTTGCCAAATTTTCCTTGATGAAACATGTATTTTTGAGGGCATTCATGCAAATTTTTCCTTGAAATTTTCAGACATCTCAGATTAAATCGCATCCAAATTGTCTGAAACTTTTGGGGAGGGGGAAATATACACAATTTTTTCAGTAAATTTGGTTTTTGTGGAAGGAAACTTGGCAACGCCTGAAGGCTCATACGACGTTTTCCCTCAGCAAGGCAGCATTGTTGGAAGTGTTGGAACTCTCTTCTTCTCAACCAGAGCTTCTCTTTTTTTAACAAGTTTGTCAGTAGCTTTATGACTAACAGAATTTATTTGTATTTGCAGCAAGAATTCATGCTGCGCCCCAATTCGACAGCAGATCCATTCCTGTCAGGACTGACTGATCATTCACGACAGGAGTCGGCCGACAGTGGCTTAGGGATGGGCAATAACTACTCTCTACCTCACACTCCAGAAGATTTTCTCAACACGGTAGACGATAATATGGATGGTGTTAGTGGTGAGTAGTCTCTTAGTTTTCGGCAACATCGGTTGCCCCTCTGTTGGATTTACCTCTCAGAAGCGTTTTTCTCTTTAGCGTCCTCTGAAGCAGAGCACGTTTCAGGGTGTCTAGCATCAGGATTTTCCTGATTCTATCAGGATTTGAGGTACTCAGGCTTTAATCTCGATCTCATCAGGATTTGAGGAAAAAGCGGTCATAAAATCAGGATTTGAGAAAAGTCGGCTGTCCGATCGAATTTTTTTGTGCTTTCGCATACGCTTGCGCAGAAATTTTAATTTTTTTCCACAAAAAATCAGGATTTGATCCGGATTTGCTAAAATTATGAATCAGGATTTCCCAAAATGAAAAAAAGAAAAAAAAAAAAAAGAAAAAAAACTAGACAGCCTGCATTTGAGAGTACATATTGACAATAACTTTTAATATTTATTTATTTATTTAAACAAATTGGTCCATGAGCCAACAGTATAAGGCTATTATACAGGTCTTACATACAATGAGAACAATGAGAAATAGAAAGGAATTAGAAACGGTGTCTATAGGTTGAGGAATTCCTCTTGCCTGCCAAAAATATAGTTTCAAACGGTTCCCATTCTTGGCATCTTCAAAAAGACATTTCTTTGTCATTTAGGTTTTATCAAATCTGAAAAAAATCTTGGAAGCTAAGTTCACTCCATCCTTCCAAAAAATGAATTTAAAATAATGGGTGCCACTGACCCATTCATTGCTGTTATCTAAAACAGTGAAATCAATCAAAAGCAAGTAACACACAGAGGATATTCAGTTGGTGTGCTAAGAGTTGAAGTTATCTCCAAAAATTAATGCTATTATGATCATTTCAATGTTTGAGTTAATGCCTGTTTTCTAATTTGTCCACCTCTATTTTTAATGTTGCAGAAGGTGGAACTTTAGGGCCATCAGACATGAGCACCTTAGATTCTCAAGAAATGAGTTCATTGACTGATACTATTGACTTGACAGAAGACCTTGTTCCTTCATTGCAGGTATGTTTCCAGCTTCTTAATGTAGCAGAGGAAATTTCTTAAGTTTACAGGGTGTTCTAATCACAATGATAATGACTCAAATCTAACATAGAGCCACTGGACAAGGTTGAAATTAGGAATAACTGTAACGTATTTCCTCTGCAAAACTTTATGTTGAAAATGATTCACACAACAGGAAATTTGGAGATCAACTCCTGAAGAAGATATGAAGAAGTACTTTTAACGAAGATTAAATTGTAGTTAGATCATACAAATTATGTCACTTGTATTCAATGCAATTTAACCAATGTTATTTGTTAACACTTGTAGGTACTTGTTGATTTTTAAACTTTCTGTTGTGCAATTTGTTTTCCTCATGAAATTTTGAAACTGATTAACACATTTCTGCAGTTCCATCATTGATATGTATAAACAGCAGATGTCAAGTTTTCAAATTTTAAGAAAATCGGGCCCAAGCCACATTAGCCATTGCCAAATTTAACTGAGCAATCTAATTTTTTATCGAAGAGCATTTGTGCAGATTCCTTTGAAAATTTTAAGGAATTTGCCTTGTACCATAGAGAAAATTCACTGAAATTTTTACGAAAATCCGCCCAACCATTTTCATGTAAAAAATTAAATTTGGCAATAGCTGATGTGGCTTGGTTCCTCTCCGTTTAACGCGGTCCAGGTATCAGTCCACTAAAATGGGAAATAATTGAAGAGGTCGCCATCTCTCAAAGACCAATATGCAGCAGGTCTTATTCACTTTTTCACCTTGTAATTTGCTCATTACACATGATTCTTAAAGAGATTAATGAGCTTCAGCAAATCATGTAGATGAACAGTAGTTTCTGACATCTTCTGTTTTTGGATAAAATGCGGTTTTTATTCATGTCTTAAGAGAAAATTATGCCAGAAGTCTGGAAATCCACCAAATAGGTACCAACACTCTTGAAGGTTTGAGGATTCAAAAAATGTGTCATCCCTTAAAATGAAGGATGTTAGATATCCACTCTTCATTGAGACGTTGCCTCAGGTTATGGTTAATTTATTCTAAAGAGCTTGATAGAAACAAGCATGGAGGAAAGCTTTATTGCTATGTTCCTTTACAAAAAACCGAGCAGTGCCTTAAATCTACAACCCAGAGCCAATGTATCATTTAGTGACCAATTGTCAATGACACAAACTGTATCTATTAGCCCAGGACAGCCCTTTTGCAGCTAGTTTTACTTATCATTTCAACTATTACAACCAATCAGTTGCCAATGTCCCACAGCATAATCAACCAGAATACCTCTAACCCTTTTTTTACATTATTTTTCAGCTAGGTGAAGAACTGTCCAGTGACATCTTAGATGACGTTCAATCTTTAATTAATCCTACTAGCAAAGCTGACAATGTTTTGACATGGCTTTGATTCGAAGTGCCACAGAAACCAGCCGTCAAGTGCGATTGATTGCTCCTGGAACTCCACAGCCATTCGACTATCCAGTGTGGCAGGAACCAATCGACAAACAAATTTGAAATCCAACATGTCGCAGCCCCATTTATCCGGAGTGCATTTATGCTACGCAGTGGCACATGCATAGTTATTTTTAGCTTTTTTATTGAAATGTTTGCTTTAATGTTTTACTTTGCCCGTGGATGGGTCGTCCATAATTCTGTTTGTTTTATGTTGCCTGTCTTCAAATTATGTCTTTCAAGCTAGTGCCTTTATGTAATGTCAAGCAATGAGCACGAAAATGCCTGCAAGCAATTCTCGTGTAGTTTTTTTTTATAAATCTATAAAATCTTGTCTCTAAGCGTTTTTACACTTAAATGAATTTTTAAGTGAAAAATTCTTTTATTATTGTGGTGCGAAAAAATTTCAGCCTGCAAAATTTGAAGCAGTTAGTCTCTGTCCCATTAAAAATAAGTTCTATCCTCTTTTGTATATCCTAGAATTCGAAATGCATTTAGTTTTAGAATGAATAATTCTTACCTTACGTTATAAGTATCGGTGTTTTATGACAGTGTGGACTACAAAAGTTTAGAATTAACTAACATACAAACATTGACAGCAGTACTTTTTTTAAATAATAAAATTTAATTTAAACTAGTAATTGGACTTAAATTTAGAGTCCTCAAAACATTTTGGAGAATTTCGATGGTCATTTTGACTTGTAAATAAAAGATATGTTTGTGCGTTGAGTGATTTAGGAATGTTTCAGATTTGTTTTCTAGTTTCTCCTTTCCCACAGTTCTAGAGTTCTTACAAGCTTTTTAATCCTCTTTTAAAACTTAAAAGGCACTTGTCCGGTGAAGATGTGAAATATATTTTAGACCTTCCTATTTTAGCCTTGGTTTCCATTATGAAGCTTTTAATGATCAAATATCGTCCCTCTTCTCCCTGCAGCAATTATAGATTTATGATTCATGCCGTACATTGAGCTGTAAAATATTAAATTTTATCATTACTCATTCAAGTTAAGATTAACCTTTACAACTTCTTTTATCAGTTGCCAATGTTCATGCTCTATCAAAGTCATATTAACCTTGTCATGGCTAAAGATATCGTATTTTTACTACATTTATTTCAGTTTTTCTCCTCATTTTAGCTATGATCAAATAGATGCCTCTATGATTTTTGCCCTTAAAAATTTATAGGTGTGTTAAATGTTTCCCCCAAATCGTTATGGCTTTATTCAGGATTTATGCGGACTAATTGTACCTCTCATAAACTATCATGCCTTCTGAGCTAAGAAAAAACAATATAACATTTCACACCACAACACCTTAAGAGCTGTTCTCAAATGTGCCTTGATCAATGTCTCTTCATGGATGATGGTTTTTATAATGATGAAAATAATTTTTTACAGTTTCGTAAAAATTTCTAACATTAAGTCCTATTTTCAAATACCAGTAAGAATTTTATTTTTGAAATGTTTGTGCTGTTTATTGGGTTTCCATGGACAATATTTTCACGGATTTCTTTTTATCGTACTTGAATATTTTGGGTCAAAAAAATTTGCAACGTCTTTCAATAGGTAGTTTCTTAAGAAAATTGCATTCTGACTGAACTATCAACAAATATTCCGTTCTTTGTTTTTCTCCCAGAAATCTCTATAAAGATCAGGTCCTATCAAGAAGTTTAAGACATCCCCACAGTAGACGGCTGCTTTAAATTTTGCAGAGCATATCTTGCCCTAATCATTTTCTGAATTCGATTTGGATCAACAGTCAAAATCGATCGTACATCTTTCGGCTGGTTGTAAGCGTAAGCAGATTTGTTAATAGATAATTCTAGGTTAAGCTCTGTGAAATTACTCATTTTAGATTTTACTGTATTTAATTTATATCTTTGTCGTGAAAATATTTTGTCCTTTTTTGGAACGTCCGTCCAAAAACTGTAACCAAGTGCCTAATGTCCTTCCAGAAACAGATGGAAAATAATTAGATATATCCAAAAAGACAAGTATTATGTTGGAATAATATTTGTTACCTTCTTTGTATATTTATACAATGTTGTGAAAATAATGTGATCTTAGGTTATTGTAGATGGCTTTCCGCGCGATTTTGTGTATCGTATATTTTGAGCCAACCTTCTCTTTCAAATAGATGTCCCTTACAAGCTATAAATTGTTTTGCAGAGAAAATTTATGAGAAAAGAAAAGAAGAATTAATGCTGCGATTGTTCTCCTGAAATTTTACAAGTAACCCTTTAACAAATCTCAGATTTGTTCTCGTTCAGAAGGCCTCCGAAGGTTTTGTTTTGCAGATGAGCAAGAAATCTCCTGAATTCGTGGACAAAGTAGAGAAATCATGTTTGTGACTCTAGAAGCAGTGAGGACCATTAGTTTTTTCGCAAAGTGCAAGGACTCTCTGAGCGAACTCAATTCTTTAACATGTCTAGACTGTCAGGCAAAACTTTTAAAAGGAAAATTCTCAACCTGGACTTAGTATTTTTGATAAAATCATCAAAATCATTGGATTCAGCAAATCCGTGAAAATTGTGTAGAATTCCTTACAAATAGCATGTTTGATCATTGCAAAAATCATTTTGGCTTATTAAAAATTCATAGAGAAAAGTACAGAAGGTGGTGGCGAGCGGAGGAGTGTATATTTCTACTCCTCCGCAAGCCAACGCAGGTCTACCAAAAATCGTGACAAAGTTGGGTCATCTTAGCATTCAGCTATATCTACTCTGAAGCCTTACTCTATTTAGCTGATCGGCTGATGTTTGTTTCTATGTCAAAACTGAATTTGAGGGCTGCTGCCTTATTGTCATCACATTTCTATATTTTCTCTATGTTGAAAACTGGAAAAACTTTTTATTAATGTGATGGGCCTATTTAATTTCGAATGTAACGAAATTATAATGAAACAGTTTGCTGCATTTGTACGTATATAAAAGTTTTAATTTGTTTGTTTTTTCTCCCATTACTTCTCCTTTTTACCATCTTTTTCTCTCTTATTTTTTTACCACCTAACACAAAATAACAACGGTAAAAATCATCTCAAAACTTAAAGTAGTATCCAAAAAATACAAGGCTCTCAATGTGCTTTTCACCAGAGCATTCGACGAAAAAATTAAACTTTTTTAACAATTCAAACAGTAACTTTACTCCAGCTTTTTCTGGTTAAATAGTTGTGGTCCTTGTTTTACCACGAAAAATGATAGGTTCTGCTCCTTCCAAGTCTAACAAAATTAATGATATCTCAAAGTTATTTCAAGGTAGTCTTGATTCGGCCATGAATTAATGAAGTGAACTTAAGCTAAAAAGAACTCTCTATTCTTCCTTTGGAATTTACATTTCTTTCTTTCTCTCACGAACTTTTCCCAATAATGAAATTGAAGTTTTTTCAGTTGTGATTTTCAATTAATTAATTTTTCTTCTTATTTTTTGGCAGAGGGATTTCCTTTAACCTGATGTTTATAAGTGATTTTTTTTTGTTTCTACTATCTTTCTTTCAAAAGGATGACAAGTGAGTTCTCCAATATGATTTTCTCTAAAAGCTCATCGACAGCATAAGTCTGCAATCACATATCTCGTTTGCGGTGTCCGAAAATCTCCGTCTCTTTGTTATTTTTTTAAAGGAAAACCGAGTCATGTGATTGCCGACTTACACCGTCGTCATGCTTGATTGTCCTTCTTAGATTGCAAAACAAAAGTTTTGATCCTTTTGGAAAATCCATCAAGAAGTTTGCACTCCTGCAAAAGTCGATGTGTCATTGTCCGTGCAAAGTGACAGAAGAGTGTAAGTCTTGGGTTCTCAAGTACCTTTCAATCGTGAATTCACAGAATTAAATGTATTTAACTTTTCAATTTTATTTTTTCATTCATTTCTTATCAATCTTTTACTGTGCTCAATTTTTGATGATGTTACCTGTGACTTTGTATGCGTGCGTTTGAGTGGTTTTGCGAGAATCTCAATAAGTGTTTAGTGAAAGTCGTAACTCGCAATTTATTTTAACTTATTCTTTTAATGTTTTTAAATGATTTATAATTTATATTTATTAGCTCCGTTTTACTCAAAATGTGAACCTCCTTCTATCTTTGTTACTTTCTTTGAAAATTTTAAACTTTATTCTTCATAATTGTATTTAAAAATTTCTTGGATTCATGCTCTGCAGTTGTCAGAATTTGAGTCTTTAAGCTCAGTGGGCGCTTTCTTAGAGTTATGTTTATATTTTTTGTTTAATCTTTGCTATGTGTAATAACTCAGCGAAACTATTATATCAGACTAAACTAGAGGCAGAGATAATTCCAGTGTTGTTGATCAACCCAGCTCAAATTATTTTCTCTCTCAATCTTCATTGAGTTCAAAAGTTTCCAAAAAGAAGAAACATCTCTTTTAATTAATGAAACGTGATGTCCATAAATCCAAAATGTTTTTACGCTATGTATCAACAGCTTCAAAACAAAGAGTTGACAGACAGACTCTCATTTTGCTTACTGTTTTGTCCTAGCTTCGCAAAATTTTGTACTAATGAGGGTCGGTTCTTTCATTGACTGCAACCAAAGGAATAGAACTGGATTTTTGCAATGTTCGTTACACAAGTAATCTGAGAGAATAGCAATTCAGGTTTAGGATGAACTTGTTGCGCAAGTTTCCTTGCCTTGACGTGAATTTGCTCTTTTCTCTCTATGAAAAATGTTGAGATATCGGCAGGAGGATTTTTCTATGCAATTTGCTTGGTTACCTCTGACATTAAAGTGTCCATGACTGTAGATATTTAAATTTTCTGGATTGATATTTTGTAGTAATGAGTAAGAAATACTTGTATGCTTGTAAGACTTGAAATATGCTTGAAGAGTTTATCTGTATTGGGAGACTTAAGGAAGAATATACCAACGCGAGAGAGTAATTAGATCTTTGTGTGAGAGAAAGGAGGCTAAGTGGAATTTGATATTCCAGCAATGCCACAAACAGAGGACTTAGTGGCTGAAAGAAAATTTTCCTTACAGTTTCTCTGGTGATTGACTTATTTTGAAGCAAAAGAAGTCTGCAGGAAATTAACAAATCCTCAACTATCTTTGGGTTTTGATGGTCTTTATGTGTTCCTTGTTTCTGCACTTTTCAAAAGTTGTGCCACTGCCCCTCCCCAATTGCATTTGAATTCCTATTTAACGAATGTAACCAATCTAAATTATTGCACACATGCCTTTTTTTCAAATGTGTCAATGTAGGTAGACTCTCTTTGCATAAATGTGCCCACAGAGAGCTACTCCAAGTCTTTTCTGGCTGACCTCATTTGTTGCTTTTTAGATTTTCTGAGAATAGTTGAGCAGAATGAGGTCTCCGTAGAACCAAAGTATCCGTCAGAAAAAAATCAGACTTGATCCCCAGTTGTTTAGCTCTACATCTGGGGCAATTTTCTGAATCAATGCCTTTACCACGTTACCGTTCCAAAAGTTCTCATTGTTCAAAATTTATCGATCCATTAACACAGAATGTCAGCAGAACATTTTTGAGCAGCTATAATTCTTTTCTCTTGAGACTCAGCTCTCCACATGAAATGGAGTGAAATCTGTTGTCTTTTTGAGGTGCACTTTATTTAGCTACACGTCATTGCAACAATGCACTATTCCATTGGTCAATTTTTGTCATTGAAGCTCCTGGTAACCTATTAATTCAAAGTCAAGAGGCTTCAACTTTAGACAAAATCATGTTTGATATTCATAAGAATTTTGGAATGAAAGCCGAGATAGGCAAATCAACGCTGAGACTGCTAAAATGCGTACCTGATTTGTGGTGTTCCAAAATCTCTGCTCCTATTTTGTTTTGTTATACAGAGACCAAATGAACGTCATGGCTTTACAGAATACGCTTCCAAAGTTTTCAAGGAATGATGTTGAGAATTTCATTTCGTAGAAAATGTAGTATGACAGGAAGTCTGCAATGCTGCAAACCGAGATACGCATTTATGCAGTGTCACCAAGATAAGATACCTAATTCTAATTCAGTCTAATATATTGGATGTATATGGCATCAAAGTTTGTCACCTAGACCGGCAGATCAATGTATATTTCCTTTATACTTGAGTTAGTCTTATCTTGTCAATGGCTGTGAATATTCTCATCTTAAGTTCATTAAACAAGCCGATTTTCACCGTAGGCATCAATCTTGATGAAGCAATGAAAATAAGTATAGTTTGATGTGTAATGTTCCTTAAGTTTTCACTGTAGTCTGAAGGGGGGAGGAAAAAAACAACAAAAAAATAGCATTATCACCTCAAATTGCTTGTATTTTAGATTGATACAGCAACTCAAATCATTGAAAATTTTTACGTCCATTTTACTGTTCCTCGTGTCATTGCTCTTGATTTTTCATGTATGCTTGTAATTATGGTGCTTTGTGAGTGAATGACCGTTATTCTTTTAACAAATTTTATAACAATTGATCGTGACTGTTTTAAACTTTGTGTAATCACAGGCACTTTTCTAAAGTTTTTTACAGTAGTCGTAAGCATGTTTTGAAGGACGTTTTAGTGAGTTGTGCGATAAAGTATCTGTATTTAAAGTTTGTACTTTTGTGTCCAGATGTTTAGTACAGATAGGCTTTTGTAAATTCCCCTGCGCTTCTACCTTGTTTGTCCAACGACCAATCATTGCACGTAGTTAGGAAAATGTATTTTAAAGAGAACAAAGTGTGATTTTTCTTGAAGAACCTTGCATTTTCAAAACATTTTTATCTTTATTCAATATTAGAGTCCACTCTAAGTAAGTTTAAGCACTTTTTGAGTGCAACAGAAGAGCTGTCATCCTGATTTTTGCATTCAATTTCAGTGCAAAACTGAAGACGATGATCTCCTGTCAACTCTAAAAGTGCGTAGACTTATTTTAGTGTCTTTAATTTAAGGTCAGAAAAAAAAAAGTGATTTAAAGATGTAAATTCAAACAGAACTAGAGAAAGAAATAGAGTTGATGGATACATTTGTGAAAACCTCTGCCTGTATTGGTAAATCAATGGAAAATAATGTCATTTACAAAATTAGAAAAAGAGCTATCTTATTTCTGCTAAATTGAAGTAAATTTTTTTAATTCTCTTCTATGCAGAAATTTGCAAGGTTAGATAGTTTCAGCTGTCAACATATTTAAAAACTTCAGCAATTGATAGTTTCACTTTTGTCACTTCCTTTCCAGCAATGATTTTTTGTACACAAATAATTTTATTTCGATTCATCTTCTTTTTTAACTTTGAGGAGTGAAAACAGAGTTCTCGAAAGATGCATGAGCTTAAAATTGAACTGTTGTTCAAACTTTCTGGGAAAGTAGCTTTATAGAATTTCCTCGGATTTTAGGAATCTCAAGAATTTTGATCTCGTAAATTGGTTTACCAAATCTGCACCCTCTATATTTTTATAGTTTTCTGTAAAGTGAATTCCTATCAAATTAATATCATAAAACATTTTGTTTCTTATTGAGTTCAGCTTATGTTATAGCTACGTTATACAATCAAGAAAATATTTTTCTTTTACAGAGTTGTTGTACACGAAGTTGGCCAATAGTTTTGTATTTTTGGAATGTCATTAATCTCTCTCTTTCTCTCTCGCCCTTTATTCCCCTCTCTCCTTCCCTCGTTTTTTTCTTAAACTGTTCCGATACAATGTTTTGTTCGTCTCTGTTAATGGAGGGATTTCTTTTCAATGAAGTCTGCTGTCTCCAATTTTTCATACCAGAGAATACTATGTATTGTCTGATCTATTGTCGTATTTTAGATGTCTTTATTGATCATGATAATAACAATTTGAGAAGCCTTTTTTTATGTTATGTTGTATTCATTGTAAGTGAAGTGCCTTTAACTGTACATTGCCCTTTTCTCAACAGAAATTTTTTTTTATTATTTGAGATATGCCTGTTTAAGATCAGTGTTTAATGCTCTGCTCTTGAGAGCACAGAAATATTTAAATTTTTTAGATTTCCATAGAATCTTCCGCAACTTCTCAATTTCTTAATTTTAATGAGTTGTTTGAGCGGTATATTAGATCCCATTGTTTTTATAGCATACTTTTTAAAAATGCCATGTTCAATGCGTATCATTATCATTGTTAAGTTCAGAATCCAATTTCAATTCTTCTCACTGCGTCTTTTGTATACTTTAGATTTTTTTTGGGGCAATTATTTTCATTTTCACCATGCCAAAATTTTAATGGATACATACTGAAAAGGATAAATAATCTTCAAATGCAGGGTGCAAGTGACATTTTTGCTTAAATTGAGGTATTATTTGAACTCATTTCAAAATTAACTCTGCAAGAAATTTGACCCCAAAAAACCTTTTATGAGGCTCCGTATAATTATTGAACTTTCAACTCGCTTTTATTAACATTGTGAAAATGTTTACTACCTCATTCATTCTCACTTAATGGGTCTCAGTGAAATTGAGTTTTCTCAAGGATCCTGAGACCGATTTTCAAAATCTTAGGCTCATTTTAAATCTGAGAGTACGCGTAATACATACTTCTTTACCAAGTTGATTTATCTTTTTTGATCCAAAAGATACAATGCCCCTCATTCTTTCACAAGACAGCTCAGTTTTCCATTTAGTCAATGTATCTCAACTTTTTTTCTTTATCCTTAAATTTTTTTTTGATCTCAAGCTATAAGTACTCAAAAATATACTCCACATCGGATTATTCAAGCAGATCAAATTATTATGTGGGGGTCGCCTCGTGGCATTATCTGTAAGTCAGTTGTAATGCTTCATTCGTAAAATTGAATGAAATGTATTTGGAGTAACTGTTGTAAAAATACTTGTTATGTAATGTATCCTCAACTTCCTCAATGAGAGAGGCGTATTTCTTTCATATCAATGCAAAGGTTACCAGGTGTGTGAGCAGAAAAATTCTAGTTTTGAGGAGGAAAACATAAAGTGAGTTGGCAAGGCTCATTATGATATCTCTGCCCAAAAATCAGGTCTCTGAAACAGAGTTAGATAATCCGATGCGGAGTGAATGACAATGACTGTCATTTAATAATACTAGGTTAAAGAATATTATATTGGGCCTGATACAATTGAACAGGTGACAACCGAATGTAGATAAGCAAGTCTTCCTTTCAATTTTGAAGGGTTTAATCGCAATTGAAGAAAGTGTCACTTTGGAAGGACATTTATGTTAATGAGAATGATACGTTGCAAATTAAATGCCCTCAGAAATGTATGTTATCAGTCTATTTTTAGGTATGTTTTTGTTTAACGCAGCAGAGGATGCCTATTCTTGGGAACCTCATTGAGTCCGACAGTCAAAGCGTAGTAACATCATGCTTCATGAGAGTGTGACAAAAAGTCCACAATCTTGAATCTTACACTTAATCCTAATTCTAAGATGAAAATTGCAGATTTTCTGTCATACTTAAATAGTGCGCAAACTTATTGGGCGGCAAGTCCAGTGTTACCTATGGAAAGTTCAGAGCGGAGTGTAGCTGATGACATCCCTGCACTGACTGGGAGAAACGCTGGTTCCAAATTCAATTCTTTGATTTAAACCTGTGTTGCTCCCAATTTTCTGATCTGCAATTCATATGTGACCATCTTCAGGAAAAGGATAAGGAACCAAGTATTCTCAGAAGATAATTTTTTTGCAGTGTTTCTTGTTGAGTTGGCAAATCGGTATTCTATGTTTTCATCGGAAATTCAACAAAAAAGGTGTAGGAAATGTCTCGGTCAATTTTTAGGGCGCTTCGAAGGGCCGCTTTACTGTTCACAGACTCATTTCAAAATTTCAAATAATGTTTTCTCACCAACAGTTTCTTATCTGTCAACCCAAAACACTCCTTCATATGATTATAGTAATTATCAATTCATGAAAGTTCCCTTTTCTGCGGAGGGTTACTTACTTAGTAGTCCAGTTAAAAATGTTGGAAAATTCTTCCTCAATATTTTGAATGAAACGTAGCAATTTGTTCAATTCAGCAATATTATCCGTTGTTAATGAATGTCAGTTTGTTTTAAGCAACAAACTTCGTTATGTGAGAGTGTGAATGATTTTTCCGCTTCCTGTCTCTTTTGATGCACCAGCAATCCACCAATTAGGCACTCTTAATAAAAATTGTCAAATTACTTTGTAAATAGAAATTGTATGTCTGCTAAGTTGTAATGAACTATTTTAATAAGGCATATGAATTATCAGGAAACTTTTGTACCATCAAAGATGGGAAAATTGTAATGGAGAAAAAAGAACTGTTGTAGAAAAATGAAACTCTTGCAGCTCACAATCATTGAGAAGTCTAAACCTTAATTTTCTTGTATTTTCATTTCTTGATGTTGTATAAAATTGAAAGAATAAAGCAATATTTAGTAAATGAAAGTGATAGTGTAAATTTATTCCATAATCTTGACTTAAATTTCCCTAATTATTCTATCCACCATTTTAACAGACAAAAGAAATCACCCAATTTTTATGCCTGAATACTATTTCAAGTACATTAAATCAAAGTTCAATGATAACTAGGATGCCTAAAATTGAAGTCATTTTGAAGTACCAATAGATACCGCTCAAAGCAATCGAAATTTTGAAATAATAAGTTGCATTTATCTGCCAATGGGTTAACGCGTTGTCTGTTGGATCCATCAAAGCTTTTGGAGTAGCATAAAAACTGATGGCAAAATTTAGAGGACGATTCGTATCAAAAATAGGATAGGATCGGGACGGGCGCATTATTTAGGTACCTACTATATTGTGATAGAGATCTCTAAGGAGAATTTTGATGGTTTCATTTTTTATGTATCCAAACATGTAAATAGAAACTTAGGGCTCTAGGTACTCAAAAGCCTTTTAATGAAAACTTAAAACTAGTTTGGCTTGTATGCTCATTTACAGTGCTTTACAGTAGTCACTCTTTGGGAAAACCAAGTGCCTGACTGTCAGTAAACCTATCAGTGAAACATTGGTATTGAAGGACCGATCGAGTCAGACCGTTGGTTATCAGTTGGACCGCGGTAGCAGAAAGGAACCAAGCGACATCAGCTATTGCAAAATTGAACTGGACAGTCTAAATTTTTACACGAAGACGTTTGTTCGGATTCCTTCGAAAATTTTAAGGGATTTGCTTCGTAAGAATTCTCTGAAATTTGCACAAAAATCCGCACAGCCTTTTTCATGTGAAAAATCAAATTGCCCAATTAAATTTGGCAATATGCGATGTGGCGGAGGCTTAACTGCTAGGATTCCAAAAGTTTGTTTGTTAGTTTTTTTTTTCGGCGTATATTCTTGTTGTTCTATCATCACCCAAGTAAGTAACACAGTGCAATGGAAATGGCAATAATTTTGCAAAATTTTGTTTAAGTATAAAGAAATTGCAATATTTTCGCATCATTTGGCCAACAAATACCGATTTAAAACGAGCATTAAAATTTGTTCCATGTGTGAGGAAGGTAGGTCATCTGCGTTGGAAAAAAATTGAAAATCCCAATTTTATTGCAAATTGCAATAAATTTCAATAAGAGAAGTCCCTTCAATCAGTGAATAGACAACATACCTTACAAAGCGAAATGTACACGTGTCTGCTTAGACAGAGGTATGTACTTCGTGACGTAACTCTGACGTTTAAAATGGCCGCCGATCAGTTGCTAGCTCACCTCCTGCCTTCTGTCCTGTCTCCTGTACCTGTTTCCCTGTTTATCCAGTTTATCAGACCTGAAAGACATTGTAGCATAGAATAATAAGGCTACGCCTATAGAAAGGACACTCTCGCAGATTTCATGACGAAGAAGAAGAACAGGGANAAAATTTTGTTTAAGTATAAAGAAATTGCAATATTTTCGCATCATTTGGCCAACAAATACCGATTTAAAACGAGCATTAAAATTTGTTCCATGTGTGAGGAAGGTAGGTCATCTGCGTTGGAAAAAAATTGAAAATCCCAATTTTATTGCAATAAATTTCAATAAGATAAGTCCCTTCAATCAGTGAATAGACAACATACCTTACAAAGCGAAATGTACACGTGTCTGCTTAGACAGAGGTATGTACTTCGTGACGTAACTCTGACGTTTAAAATGGCCGCCGATCAGTTGCTAGCTCACCTCCTGCCTTCTGTCCTGTCTCCTGTACCTGTTTCCCTGTTTATCCAGTTTATCAGACCTGAAAGACATTGTACTAGAGTGTAATTTCTGTTTAGTTTCAAGCAACAAAGATTTCTCTTTCCCTTTCTTTGTCGCAATAATTCTCCCAAGTGCCCGTAGTCTTTCGTAATTCGAAGTGTTTGCAGCTTAGTTCTGCGAGGATAAAATATCGTCAATATTATTAGTCAAATGAAGTCTTTTGTTGTGCAAGTACAACCAGCCTAGGGAGTGATTTCAGAATGGCTAGAGCATACGACCACTTATTCAAACTACTAATCATTGGTGATAGTGGTAAGTGATTTCAAGGCCTTTTTTGTTCAAATGGAAATTGCTTCCGTGAGATTGTAGACTTCTCTCGTTTTGATCCACTGCTTCCACTGTCCTGCATTAGAACTGAATTTGAGTCTATTGGCAAACTATTCCGAAGTTTCCAATCTGAATACCTCATTGAAGGTTATGATCAAGAAAGCTCTGTGGGAGAGCTTATCAGATGCATTTTATTGTTTTCCATTGAGTGATTAGGTAAATCTCTCCATGCCCTTACTGCTTGGGTACGCTTTAATTTTTTGTTGAGCTGAGCAGGCGGTATTTTCCCCGTCTCAAGTGACAACCTCAAGCGTTTTGCAATGCTTCATTTTGCCCCATGCCAAAATTCTGCTGAATTCATGGATTTGTACCTAGCCAATGAGATAACACAGTGTGTGATGTATTTTTCAATCCAATGGTAATAGTAGCCGTGCCAGAGGCAAATAGAGACATCCCTGAAAATACAACCTTTCGCTGACTTTCTCAGCTATCTATAAATACGTTTCACTTGATTGTGCCATAATTTTTCAATGTACCCCCTCTAACATTAACTAATAATGAAGTAACAACCTTATTCCACGATTTTGAGCTGTAGGCCGCGCGCTTTAGTCCTTATTTAATTCTCAACATCTTTTAGTTATACATAGGTACCTGCGGAACTCTTAGATAGTTTTCAAGGCAAATACTTGTTCAACCTCCTCTCCTGAAAACAGTTGGGCCAAAATCTCAATTCAGATGTCATCCTCAATGATTCTCATCACTCAAAGAGTTTTAACTTTTCCCTCCAAGAATACACCGCAATTCCTGATCATTTGTCGGGCGTGGCTGAATGGAATGTAACTTCGAACTGGATTCCTACTTTTGCTCGCAAATAGCCATGTATTGGGGAAATCAATTCGTCAAATGAAATTAAATCTATTCAGATAACATATCATTTTTATTTTATCTCCCTCTCCACGAAGCATGTTCCCACTGCACTTTCGTGTACCATCGCAATTAAGGATAATCGAAATTTATTTTTCGTTATCTCCAATATCCTAATTTTAGAATGTCTTTTAAAGAAAGAGATTGGGGTTTCTAGAATGACCCTCCAAGGCGAGCATTTTCTTTTTCTTCTGACAATTTCCACAATTTTACTAAAATTCTGGATGATTAATTTTATTGTGCAATTTAAGAGATTTTTTTCACGCGTACGTCATCAAAAATTGTATGAGAGTAGCGTACTCCGATCATGTTGAAGTCTTACCTTGGGTAGTAGATGCCTCAATTTACTGAGCAGTGTTGTTTTTGAGCTAAGCAGAGATAAACTCCTGTCTCAACAAACGATGAGCAAACTCCGTTTAATTCACGATTTTAAAGTTGTTGAAACATTTATGTAATTCTTCTTTTCAGGTGTTGGAAAAAGTTCTCTGCTCGTAAGATTCTCAGATAATAGATTTTCTGGAAACTACATTACGACAATTGGTGTTGATTTCAAAATCAGAACCGTCGACATAGATGGCGAAAAAGTCAAACTACAGATCTGGGACACAGCTGGGCAAGAACGATTTAGAACTATAACATCTACGTAAGTTGAACCTTCCTGCATTCTTAAATATCTTTTAACTAAGGTACATATGCTGTATCAAATGAAACAAATTTGGGGGAAAATGAACAATATAAAACGGCAATGCAAAGCTAGATGCCTTAAAATTGCATGCATCATATTGATGGCTAAATGAAATAAACTATGTAACTCGGTTGCAATGTTGTAGGGTAACAGTTCAAAATGTTTTCATGCAATTTTGTTTTTTTTTTTATAAAATGGATGAAGTCGCAGAAAATTTTGATAGGAATCGTCGCTTAACTTTTCTGTAAAAAAATAAAACTTGAGCAAAGACTTACAACATCACAATCTGACGTACGCATAATTCGATTCAGCCATCAGTACAACGTTTTCAACTTTTTCATCTTGGATTAAAATTTTAATTTAAATCTAAGCTACTCTTCTAGAAATCGATAAAACAACATAAGAAAAGGGGGCCTGTCCCATAAACCACTGCTCATTTTGGACACCACTAAGTGTAGACTTAAACAATATTGTATATTCTTCGAAAAATTCACTTAAAATAGAAGTGCAAGTAATTAAATATTACAATAATGTGATTGTGATAGCAGCATTTCGACAGTGAAACTCTCAAATAACGTATCTCTTCAGCAGTCTTTTAAAAGCTCCCCTCCTATTTAATTTTTTTTGGAAAACTAATCAACATTATTCCCTGAAGTTTTTTCAGAATTTTCGCACAGAGAATAAAAATCATGGAAGTTTAAAGTGTTGACGTCTAGTCGTTTTCCATTTAAAATAAAAGTATGACGGGAAGCCTGCAGCGGTGCAAACCAAGATACATAGATTGGGCGTTTCACCGTTGTTGTATCTTTGTAGGCTTTAGAATGGATCTTGAGCCTCACACAGTCTCTTGTATGTAGCTGTAACTCATTTTTGGACTGTTTTTCTACAAAGACAAGATTATAAATGATGAAATAGAAAACATAAGGTTTGCGGTTCATATCAAGAATGTAGCTGTTCATTCAAAATATCACTGTTTTAAAGCAATAATATTAATTAAGCCATTTTATTTTGCAGTTATTATCGTGACACTCACGGAGTCATAGTTGTGTATGATGTGACAAACGGTGAGTCTTTTGCGAACGTTAAACGCTGGCTTCATGAGATTGATCAGAACTGTGAAGTTGTTAACAAAATTTTAGGTGAGTTCTTTTTACTATCTTTGAATCAGCCATGGTGTTTTCCTTTTCTAAGTATAACTTCGGATCCTAAAAGTGTAAACATTGGTAGTAACTTCGTGTATTATGAATACAGAAAATATAATGTTGAATGCATAATGGAGAATACATAATGTTGTCTATTAGTTTTACTGTGGGCTTTTAGTCAGGGTAATAATTAAAGCACTATGCAACATATTTTCACTTGACCCCCATGTTGTTCACGCAACCCCATGTTGAAATTGATTTACACAGAGGGAAGTCTGGAACTCAACCATTGAACAAGATATAAGTATTTACAATTAACATTGGTTAAAAAGTAAAAATACAAGTGACACTATTTGTACAGCATAGAGTACATAGCGTCGTAATGTAAGTGGGAGAGCTGGCGCCACTTTTAAGCATTTTCCATGTCCCGAATTCCGAGACTCCTGTGTGATGCCGGGTCACTTTTTCGATACATAATCGATTGTTTGCGATACTTGGGTACCCGGCCATCCGATGACAACAACAACAACAACAGAGGAGATAGGGATTACCACGTATTCCACACCGCCATTTTGGATCGAAAATGTATCGAAAAAGCGACCCAAACTCGGCGCACTCCGGGCTCGGAATTCGCCAAGCAGAACATGGCGCCAGCTCTCCCATTTACATTACGACTCTATGTACTCTATGTTGTACAGTCGGACTTCATTTGGTCTGTGTTAAAATACTTGTTTATATCTTGTTCAGAAGTTTATTTCCGAACTTTCCATCAGATAAATTGTTTTCTATGTAGGATTTTGAAAAGAAACGTGCACCATCTCCTCTCGTTAAGATCTTGTCATGGAGCCTATGTCCTTCTGAAAAATACTGAAGTCTCTCTTAACTCGAGGGATTACGCATCATTCTGTCCACAGTTCATGGCAACTGCAAATCAACATCTTAATGTAGCATGTTGAATATGTCCATGTTCAAGGGTTCCACGAAATCAGTTTTTATTTTTCAATAGAAATATAAATTTGGCAATGTGCATAATTTTCTACAAGTATAGAAGTTCGTAATAGTTACTAGAAGTGGTACAGAGTATGCAAATAGTTACTAGAAGTGGTACAGAGTATGCAAATAGTTACTAGAAGTGGTACAGAGTATGCAATGTGTAAATTTTGTTTTATTAGCCAGATGGCTTCCAAAATTTTATGTCAAAATTAGGGCCCTGTCTATAATCACTGATTCAAATGTAGCAGTGTGAGCATGACCATTCTATGCTTTTACTTGCACATGATGCACCACCCGACACCTGGACGAGAATCGCAGCAGGATAGAGACTTGTTGCTCACAGAATTTTTTGAGTATGATGATAATTTGCACTCAAACTTTACATTAAAATCAATAAATTCAAACTCTCCACTTGTGGAATAACCTGCATCAACTTATATCTAACTGAGTCGTTAGCAATGAAGAAAACCGAGAAAAGTCAAGGGAAAAAACCAATCAGGAAAAGTCAGGAAATGCTGGTGCTGGTATGGGATTTTTCAGTCACACATTGAATAAGTATTACATGAACTTTAACCATCTTCACAAGAAGTTTCCATCAAATGCAATTAATTTTTTTTTTTTTTTTTTTTCAGTTGGCAATAAGAATGATGCTCCAGAGAGCAAAGTTGTTTTGACAGAAGATGCTCAACGATTTGCAAATCAAATGGGAATCCAGTTATTCGAAACCAGTGCTAAGGATAATATAAATGTCGAAGAGGTAAGTGAAAAATGGAAAGTAAATGAAATGGCAATAGTTTTTTGGTGCACCAATGTCCTGTAAATTGTAGGTTCCAACAAGAGTGATGCTTATAGAAACTCTAGTAATATCTTTTACAACACTGAAGAATTCGACTTAGGATTTTAGGTTTTCAAGGGAATAACTTTCTACCAGTTGCTCACAAAAAGCATCTCAAAATGGGGCTAAGGTTGACAAAATAAACAATCAAAACCAGGAAGTTTTGCTACCAATTACGGGCGCATTTGCAATCAGGGAACGAAAATGAAGGAAGAAAGATAAACAGATGAACGCCTAGCTTCGACGATGTCATTGCAAGACTAGTTTTAGAGTTTTGCAATAACACACACTTGCAATAAATGTTGTAAGAATTATGTAAAAAGATCCAATCAGAACTAAAAAACTTCAGACAGTTATCAATCTTTCCCTTGTATGATTTCGTTCATTCTTAATCATACATTTGTGCTTTGTTTGTGTTAAGAAGAGAAAGATGATGTCTGAAACTATTGAAGTCGTATGTGAGATGGATTTATAATTGTTTGTGGTCTATTTATTTATGTTAGGTTTTCTGATATAATTCCTTAGCAAATCTGATAGCTGGTTACCAAGAAAAAAGTGTCCATGGACAAGTAAAATTTAAAAAGCACAATTTGGAAATGCATCAAGTAGTACTTTAGATTTTTCTATTTCTGATATGCTCAATTTCATGTTTTTGCAAGTTTTCTGGATGATGAAATTGGCCGATTTCCCGGATTTATTTTGTGCAACCAATCCATCACCTGTCCTTCGCTGATCATAAAAACTGTAGCTAAACTCTAATTACTTTGTATTCGAACCAGCTACTGAACTCTTTTTCGTTTTCAGAATGTCATTCTTGATGGTGCGATTCAGTGGAGTTGCAAAGCAATTAATTGCATTGATGTAAACTAGCCAGGAAAAAAAAATTACGAGCTCAACCGATTGCCATTCTATCATTGCTAATGTTATGATTTTTTTTCAGATGTTCATGGCAATAACAAGGCTAGTTCTACGATCTAAAAAAGAACGAAAAGAACGACAAGCTAATGCTAACAATGATATAGTCAATTTAAGGAAATCACATTTGAAATCAAATAAACGGAAGTTCTGCTAATTTTTTTACTCACTGTCACATAGGAATACATTGAATCATCGGGAGGTAAGTGTCGCAAATTAGTTAGACAATACAGGTCTACTTAAAAAAAAATGCATGGCATATGACAGGCTTTTCTGATGTCTTTTTTAGGGCTGTATTTAAAAGTGACCGATTTTTCACATCATCCATCAATATTCCTACAAAACGGATTTTTTGGGAGGAAATGTTGATCTTCCGAAAAATTTGTCTGCGAAAAAAATTCGAAGGAATGTCAAATGCTAATTTCTTGCATATCCGGGGGATTATTTACTTACTGACTATTTAATTCAATCCATTATTTAATTACCCTCGAGACATGCATGAGTGTAGAAAGTTTTTCAGGGGAAAAAATCAGTTGCAATCTCGGATTCAAAATTTCCTCACTTTGTAGAAAGGTCAGAAGTATGCATTGAGTCACAAAATTTGCGCTCTTCTGTTTATTTTTATTTTCTGATTTATTGGGAACAACAAATTTCGATGACCTAAGTGAGAAACCACCTATCTCCATTACGGTGTTCCAAAATTTTCACTCCTATTTTATTATTTCAAAGAGAAATGAGCCAGTCAAATGGCTTGAAATTTTTCCAGAATATTCTGCCAACAGAAGAAAAATCAGGGAAGTTTTTAAAAAGTCAAATTGACTCTTTGAAGGAAAAATTAAGTATGACAGGAAGTCTGCAGCGGCACAAACAGAGATACGTGGTTTTGCACCGTAGGCATCGATTTGCCATTCAGAACACTTGGAAATGGTAAACTTGCTGTAGTTGCATGTATGATTACTAGTCATTCACATTGTGTAGATGCTGAGGAGGGCTCTGCAACTGCGTCTGTTTTGGAGAAAATTTAATGTGCTCATAAGATAAACTTTAAATTAAATTTTAAGTGTATATCAATTTTTTTTCTCTGTTTTTAGCTGTAACCCACAAGTAAAGCCAGTCAGTCAATTGAGCCCACATAGTCAGATAGTTGAGAGTTTCAAGGATGTCATTACAGCTTAAGAACTCCATCGACCTGCCAGTTACGTCTTCGAGTCAGTCTCTCTCCACTAACAGTCATTCCGAAGCCCCACATCAGCTCTTGAAGAATATACAGGAGTCAGAACACTTAGCTTGTGTTGGCGAATGTGCAATGGAACTGTACAATACATGTTTTGTCAGTATGAAATGTCATCAAAGGTATCATCAGTGTACAGAATTTTCATCAATCGATTGAGGATTTGAGGAAAATTCAAGTCATGCAAAGGAAGATGTAAGGAATGATTAGATTTTACTTTGCAGAAAATGAAGTCTGAAGAAAAAGGTAAAGCAAGTTCTTGTGCTTAACAGTTTTACAAGAATCATCCTTTGAAAAATGGCATATGATTTCACCAACCAATTGAATGATAAGATTAACCATTGAACGCACCCACCAAGCCGCACATATGTTTACTTTTTTCCAGTATAGATGTCAGAAAATAATATTTTTTACAGCTTCTCCTCATAAGTAATTGGGTCCTTTAGCAATGATGTAATTAGTTTGACTTAAAAAGTTTGTTCTCTGTGCAGCTGTAAATAGGTATCCCAACAATATCCTCATTGCAGCCAAGTAGAGTGCGATGAATGATGAAATTAAGTTTAATTTCCAAGCGTTTAATCACAACTCATTACAATTTCAACCAATGCTGCATTCTAAAATGTTGTTGAACTTTGATGACAGTGAAATTAAGATTATTTTTGTTTTCACATGTGAGTAGGAACAGAAATTATGAGCTTTGATGTTTTTCTTCAGTATCATGAATCAGGTCGAGGCCCATCTTTTCAGCTCCCATTTGTTATGAGAGAAAACGGCAAATGCTGTCGCAGCTGTCAACTGCTCTTAAAGATGAAATATCTTTGAGGTACTTTCTAACTTACTCGCACTTTGTACCAAAGACTGTTATTTGATCGACTCGAGGGCCAATATTTTTTGTTATCAATTCCTAATGAGGACCAATGTCTCTGCACAATTTAAAACGCATTCCAATTTTACTATCATTCAGCTGTGTAGTGCGCTTTTTGCACTTTTGTTTTTATTTTAGGCTTGTGTGCCACTGAAAGTATTATACTGTGTAGCCTCACTCTGCCCATTTCTTTAATTAATTGAAATGTATCCTAAAACTGAAGTTCGTTTAAATAAGAGGATTTGCAATGAGTCAGCTTTTGTATTTGTTTAAAGTGTCAATTACGTAGGAACTTGCATGTCCTCTTTTGCCAGCAGTGTTTGAATTTCTTCCTGTACACAACTTCAGAAGGCTTTAGGGAAGGGCTTCAGGGATTTAATTCAGTCCCAGTCTAGGAGCAAGATATTTCATCGCTTCATGGCTGCTTCTTTCAGAAATGAATCTGTAAGATTTAATAGTGGAATTGTATTATTGGAATTGATAAACTCAACTCAAGACATTTTTATGTTTTCTGGACAAGTTGCGAAGTCCACCTTGACTCCTATACCAAGGAGTTCTAGCAATTTAGCCAGTTGAGTCCATTAATTCCTTTTCTCATTTGTTCTATCCAAAATCAGACTCATCATTCAGAAACTCGCAAATTCTGTGATGAAATTAACAGAAAATGGACAATGTTTTACTAGCGGTTTTGGCGTAGTTGGGAGTGACTTTCTGTAGCCTCAAGTAAAGGATCAATCGTTTTCCGAAGGGTCAAATAATATATTTGCATCAAATAGTTAATGTACACCTGTTTAAAATTCATTTGAATGGTTGCATTTTTGTTATTTTTGTACTGAAAGCTTCAATTCTTATGAGTCATTTTCCCCCTGCAACCTGTACCTACGTCCAATTCAGCTCTTTCTTTGTAATTTTTTTTACTATATAATTCTTTTGATTAAATCATGAAGTTTTTCCTTTTCTACACATACTTTTTTGAAGGGTCAATGCAGTATTTAAATTTTGATCACAGTTATGGTGTATACATGTTTCTCCCTGAATCTTATGGAATTTTTCTCTATGTCTGTGCTAATTTTTAATAGTTAATTTTTCAACCATACCTGTTAAAATCGTATGAAGGGATAATAATTTTTTATACTTCAGTACATTATGTATGCATGGAAAAAAGATTATTACATCTTATACCCCCGCATAGATCTGAATGTGAAATTTCTCAGAAATGTGTTTCTAGAATGAATAATTTTTTCCTGTCAAATATTACTTGGAGCGTGTTTTTATTTAGGCAGAAGGATTGAGGAGACAGGAACAGTTGAGATCAAAACGGATAGAAAAAGAACAAATTTGTTCAGTATTTGCTCCTCTTTTTCCTTTCTGAAAACAGAGGATTTTATGGTATACGTTTTTACCTTTACCTTACTTTGTTTACCTATTTAAAAACGATTATCTTGTAGCTTGCTTCAAACTTGATTCAAAAGAATGAAGACTGTCGAAAGGCTTTATCAATAAGCAATCTCATAAAATTCAGAAATCTAATTAGTGCTAGAAATCACTGTAAATGAAAAACTGGAGGGTAGAAAATTATAAAACATGCCAGAAAAGTAATTAATGCCTTAGCTCCCGTGCACTTGACAAAAGTGAGTAAAAAATGCTGATTTTCTAATTAATTCAAGAAATCCTAGGTATTGGTTTTGTGATTGTAAAGATAGTTTCAATCGGTATTACAAATGTATTTGGTAAAAATTGACAAACTTGTTAAATATGATTAGATAAGTCTGCCTCATCACTTTCAAGAAGGTGTTCCCACCTGAACATTTCAGAGACTCTCATTCTGTAATTTTTTTTATATTTTGTGACCACTTTCCATGTTACACTCCACTGATGTTGCTTGTACTAAGTACATGCAAAAATACATGAAAATTGCATTCAAATTTTTTTCAACAAAATCTTTGAACTACTTTTTTCCCCTATAGGTTGGCAAAGTCTCAGTGTAGATCTTGATGAATAATTAACAGCTCTGTACCTTCTTAATTATGGCAAGTGAGATCCTTAATTACGCTTCAACTCCAGATGTTTTAAAAAAAAACAAAGCTTACTAGGTTTTAGGTCCAGTTTTTTTTTAAACCGTACATTTTTTTTCATTCTTATATTTTTACTTTTTGTCATTCAAATTAAATTTTTGACAGTCTCTTGAATGTTCAGTGACTCGCTTTTTCTTGATCTTTCACATACTAAATATTTTTTCATTTAGGATGGCGGAATCAACTGGACTTGAAATCATAAAAACCGTCATTATTGATCTCTTCTTCTAAAAAATTCATAATCTCCTCACAAAGTACCGAAAACTGCAGGTCCAATGCTTTTTCTGTAACTAGGCTAAACTCGATAGATTTCCTTTATCAAAAACAATGCTAGGCTAAGGCATGTTCTCGAATTTTTTTCAAATGAAAAATTGCTGCGACTGGATTGTATTATATTAGCGCTGTAAATATCTTCCAAGAATTGTACCATTTTTATCAAGTTACCATTTGGTATAATTTGCTATGTATACTTTTCTGTAAGGGTATACTTTTTTGTATCTAGAAATGTGTAAAATACATTATTTTTATAAATTTATGAAGGCATTGTTGCTTCTATTAAAATACTTTCTCAAACTAATTTCCCCCAAGTGAAATGTATCCGTTGTCCTTTCAAACCCTTGATCTAGAATCCACTGTCTTTTTCATTCATGCTCAAATAATTTTTAAATTATTCCAACTGATATTTAGATCGGCACATGCAATAAAAGACAGTACTTTTATCCATCCCAAAATTAAAATCATCGATAAAGGACTGACAAGTTCTTGAATGAACAAATTTTGTCTGCCGTGATTCCAGATGACAAATGTACTTACTTGAAAGTGCACGGAAGTCAAAAAGCCCATACTTCCATTGTAATTTTTTAAAATCTGAAATCTCATTTTCCTTTTTCCTCAAAGAATTGACCAAAATATCTCATTGAAACTCTCTGTGACCTCATTTGAATGAAAGAAGAGAGTCCCCTGGAAATTTCAAGGAGACCCGTCCGTGGCGTTGAATAAAGTCAAAACCTCAGCATGAGATTTGGAACGCTGCGACTCAAGATACTAATTTTAAGCGAGTAAATAACCAATCCTCCGTTGTCGTACTCATGCTGTATGCTGCCAGTCAATCAAGCATGTCGAAAACTACAAAATTTTTCTAGAAGCTGATGCCACTGAAATCGATTGATTTTGGGAAACGTGCCCCCCCCCCCCTTCATCGTCTAATTTACCGGTGAAAAACCTTCAATAGCGAATGATCGGTGACCTTGGCAGACCAAACTTTCGAGGTTGCCTTTGTTTTTTGTGACGTACGAAACAGAGTGTACCACAGACTCCGCTCCGGTCCGTAGGTACTTATCAGTACTTCTAACATTCCTACACTCCGTAGCAAGCCACGTCAGGCCTAACTTTTAGTTTAAAGTACTCGGATTCTATATCTGCGTAAATTTCGAGCTGTAATAATTTTAATACCGAAAGTTTAACGTCCGACTTTTCGCCCACGTTGAGTAATTGTGGTGGTAGTATTGATCAGAGCCTCCATTTTGTGCCGGTGGCCGGTTCTAGGCTGTTTCCTGTAAAATCAATGCGCTCGCTCGAGGCTCGGGTGATCGCGGAAAGCGTGTCCGTCCGTTTTTATCAGTTTTTCGTGTTATTAGTATGTGTCGGTTCGTTCGGTACTATCACCGTTGATGGTAAGCTTTTTTAATTTCAACATGCCGTGCCGCTCATTCATTTTTCCATAGTGTTTTCCTGTGTTGATTCCGAAAAATTTCCCCGTGTGAGGCCCGTCTCATGGAAGACCTCTTGATGGCGGTTCCATAAGGCGTGTTGCATTGTAATCTCTCGTTATTATTTTTCCAGTGGAAGTTGTGGATTTTTTTGAATTGTCGGTGTATGAATGGTTTCTCTCGCATAGTATCCATGCAGTTGCCGCTCGCTATAATCCTCGAGAGAAAGAAGACGTTAGTGTAATCTCATTCTGACCATGTGAATCATATCCTTTGACCCACTTTTCTCGTTGTCTGTGGCTGAATTATACCGGATTCTCTCCCGGACGTGCATATTCCTAAATGTTAAATCAGTGGAACTACTGTTTAATCTTCGGTTTGTGCCTCCACAGGAGCTGAGAAAGGTTTTTCCTTCGAATTATTCCAGCACAAGGTCATTAGGTTTGTCTAACCTCAACTTTCTCATTGTAACTTCCTTCTTTTTTCTTTCATCTATCAACCGAAATTTAACTCGTCTTTGTCCTCGTTCACTGAATCATCAATTGATATATTTGCATTTTGCGAGTTTTGAGCACCATAACTTCTGTCTACACCATTATCTATGCTGATGTTTATCATCTAGTATGGCGGTTTTCCCTCCACATTTTGCTTAATCCAAGCTGTGGCCATGATGTGATCATGCCATTTTGCGCTTAATTTTTCTCTCCTGATTATGGTTTCTGCAATTTCCTCACGTTTTGAAGAAGTTTTAACTTTGATGACACCCTGATATGGTCGAGTTCTGGCAGTTAAACCGCCTCAGTGTAAACAGACACTTATGAATACCGCATACGACAGTTGGCCGGTTATTGAAAGTTTCAAGCAGCCTGATAAGACATCAAAATGCGATATATTGCATGGTTAAGATGGGGCTATGTCTTGTCTTGTCGACATAGTTTCAATAATTGGCCTGCAGCTTAGTTTACTCCAGAACTCTCAAGTTACCAGCTCAAGCGTTAGCTTAATAAGAGCATCAGTCAACGAGAGTTTACTGAGCATGTTCAGAATAGTTATGACCAACTCTCTTGTGTGAATTCCCCCTAATTTCCATGTAGGAATCGCACATTCTCTCCGTGATTAATATCCCTATCCTAATACACGTATTTGTGAAGCCTTGTTTTCGCTGAATATTTCCCTTTTTAACTGAAGAACAGGTATTACCACTGATAGAGATGTTATTTACCTCTCAGCCACTTCTTGGTGTCAGGATATTTTTGCCAACCTCAGCAACCATATTTAATTACGTCTTGGTCCATGTTAATTTGTCAACGTCTATCTGGTCTGTGCTCTATGGCAATGCTACATTTTTGCAAGATAATTTTCTAAGTCAATATGTACCCTAAACACTTTGTGGCATTATGCAGAAATTAAATGTAGGTATGGGGATTGCAAAAGCAATATGATTTGATCAAATATTTGGAAAAATGAAGAGGCAATCACTAATTGACACCCATTCCATGTTGACAGCAATCAAATTTGTGTATGAAATCTAAGTCAAGAGCCTATTACTTAATCCCAGATATTAATTAAATTCCTTATATACTAGAATTATTTTACCTTCTGTGCAACTTTTCTGCACCATTGACTAGATTATTAACACTTAACTCAGAGAACTTGAGTAAATGGACCAAAAAATTCTGAACCAGTGCTCATTGGCCAAATTAAGTATGTACCGTTGATAAGAAATCTTTGATAAATTTTCTTTTATCAGATCCCTCTCTTTCCCCTCCTGAACTGACCTCAGTCAACATTTTATTTGATATGTTAAATTATTGCAAAAAAAGAAGTATTGATATTTAGAAATTATTACCTAAGAAAAAGGAAAGAGTTAGGAAAATACTTTTCATTTTTTGCCAAATGTTTTGCTTCATCTGGTAAAATGTATGTATTTTCAATTTTCAAAATTATTTTCTCAAATTATGTGAAATTCCAACCATTCTAACCTTACAAAACTCCATTGTAAAGCTTACAACTACTATTAGTACATAATAAGGATCTTGCTTATGAAACCAGCAAGCTAGCCTAATGAAAATAATATGAGGAATAATTTAATCTATTAGGTCAAAGAATGTAAACATTTTTCAAGGCAAGCACTTAAAAAAGCATATAGTTATCATTTATTCATCACAATTTTATGAAAACATTTTATTTTGAATACCCCAATGAGAACTAGTGTCTGTGAAAGTTAGGTTGGCACTGCCTTCTATTGATTTCGCACTATTGCACAACTTGCTTATATTGTTGTTTAAGGTTATGTGTAGTTAACATGGGCTGCTGGAAAAAAATTAAAGAGGTTTGGAAAATTCTCTCTTTTTTAATTTCATCTACTTGTCAATTTCATTTCCTCTCCTTGCTATCAATGCCTTTTCATCATAAATTTCAATGCTGTAGGTACATGACAATCAATGATTTCACTTTTGTAAACATGGTCTTCGGCCCTAACGTTTTCCCTTTTTCTTTCCCTCTCTTTCTTTAGGAAATATTTCTCTCTATGAAGTATCTCTTGTTGACTTTTTATTCAGGAAGAATTTTGATCGTATGCTTCTAATGTAATGTAATGTCATGTTTGCTTCAATGTAAGATTTTGTAACTTGAAATAGAGAATAGGCGTAACATTCGAAATGGGCATTTCGGCTCAGGCTGGAAGATTTTTGAATTATTGTCCTGTTTTAAAACAAATGAGCGACTATGTTTCTCCTTTGGTCAAATGCTTAAACCTATGTATGTTGTTAGATGCTGACATGCAGTTTTATAATGTTACTGGAATCACTCCTAAAATTATTTTTGCTACATAGTACCTCATTTTTACCTGTTCAGTTATGCAACTACAGTAAGGAATTGGAAAATTTGATAGTGAGAAAGTAATGATGGTAAGAAACAAAATGTGCCGTAGGAACAAATGTTCAAAATTGGAAATGATGAAATTACACTGGTCATGCTTTTCCGTCTGAATGAGATGACTGAAGAACAATGTCAGTGGTTATTTTTTTATCAATTTTCAGTAAGTTTCCAGTCTTCATTCAGTTCCAGTTCCTTCATCATTAGTTGAGATTCAAGTGAAATTTTGTTTGTTTCAACTTTCATTTATGGTATAACATCCGGAAGCATGTATTAAATTGTTGAGCAATTAAAATATTATGAGAACTAATTCCGTGTGTGGTCCCGGGCATATGATCTCAAAAAAGAACTAATCATTTACCCGAGAAAGTGAGGATTTGGGAAGGGAAGGGTTGAGAAGGGCGTAGCAAACCTGAAAAGAAAAACAATTCTATTCATGAAAAGTGGTAAACACAACAAATAAAGTAAAGTCCACTGCACAGCGCTGGTTTAAGGTTAATCAAAAATGACTTTTGTCTCAACTTTTGATGAACCTGCTCTAATACTGTTGTGGATCAGAGAGATCCCTTTAAGTATTGAAGCTTTTTGTCTTGCTTGTAACTAATTGATGTCTTGTTTATTTTTGCAGGTGGTTCGCTTATTTGCAAGCAGGTATCGCTTGATTCAAAATGCCTGCGTCAAGTTTAGATCCTATAAGCAGCTCGATTCACTCTAGCATTGAATCGGGCAGACGAGAGTGCAACTTGGAAAATCTTAATACCCAAGTCACCATTTCGGCAAAACGTGTGCTTTTGCATCCAATCGAGTACAAAGAAACGACTGTGCAGAACTCAGTGCTTACCAGTCCGCAGAAAAGCAAGTATCTCATACTTAAAACGTCAACTCCCAGTCAAAACCAGATCAACGGTGATGACCATCGGAAGGCGGATGTTAAGACTAATGGCAGTTCGCAGGACACTTTGCCCTTACCAAAACACACCATCTACCCTCCTGAAAACATCAAGTTGGGCTGGCAAGGAAAAGAGCCTGTCGGGTCAGGTTTTCTAAACCTTGGCAATACTTGCTACCTCAACAGCACTCTGCAGGTACTTATCATCACTATTTTTTTATCTTTTGTAGACTTCCTGTGTCCATTATATTGTGTAGTTGTCCAACCAGTTTTCAAAGTGCTGAAGAGACTGTCTATCATTATGGCTCAAAAAACTTTGGTGCGATGCCACCTTTGACGGATTATTGATTATTTTTGCTAGTTAGTCAGAAGCATTGTAAACAATAATTATGTGTCGTCCTAGGTGTCTTTTTATGCAAAGAATGTACTGAGAGCGCTACCGAGCAGCAGGGACTCTGACAACTTAGGGTGCATCAGTTGCTAAATGACAACATCTCCCTCTTTTCCATCTCAACTCAGTGTGGTTTGTAGCAGCAAAAATGCCGGAACTGTTCTTCCAAAAGCCAGATACATATGCACTTGTTTTATTGACCATTTGTTGCTGTTGAATGAAGACTGCCCTATGGCAATCTTTCATCTTTTAAGAGGACCCCGCACACTCTTTATGGGGATGTGTACCACAAGTGTTATGCAAGAACAGTGGCTCGTAGAAAGTTGACGCAATTATGACTTTTAATCTGCATCCATAGACGAATTTAAAACCATAAAGAAATCATAAATCGATTGTGGCACACATCCCTGTCAGGAATATGCGGGGTCCATTCCCGAAGTAATGGAATGTAATGAGGAATGTGACATATGAAAAATTAAAAGACTAATTTTTTAATCTTGAAACTCAAGAGCCAGCAAAAGTTCTCTCAATTAAATCGGTGGACCAATGAGTCATTCAATTTATTAATTAGGATTCGAGAAGGAAAAGTTCATTTTTGTTAGTGCAAAATACACCCTCAGCGGAAAATGTTCTAACTGTCATTTTGTCTGTCTCAGGCACTATTTCATGTTCCTGCTTTTGTCAATTGGCTCAGCAATGATCAGAAACATTTCAGTAGTTGTGAACAAAAGAGTAAGTATGACTCCCTCATAATTTGATTAAGAAAATGAAGCTACATTTAATTTCATTTTCTGTGACTTTTCAAGGAGTTTCAAGGACTTACACGGCATGAAAGTAAAAGATGATAGTCATTTAATCTAGATTGACTTAGTTTTAAAGCTCTGAGTTTTATCTCTTTGATTTTTGAGGTATAAGTTATTTTGTCAAGTATTTGATCAAATTACATGAAGCAGTCATCAATGACATCAGCATGAAAGGATGAGGGCCAGCGTGAGTGAAAATTTGAAATGTGACTAATTCCCGCAACAAGGCAGATAACTTCTCAAAATTTAAATGATGGTACTAGCTTCAACAACAGCCTTGAAACTTGCACAAGCAAGTGAACCAATGATGAATACATTGTAAAATTAAGTAGATATTCTGATGAGTCTCGTAAATTAATTTTAAATAAAGATAAAGCTGCAGTTTTTGTGCTATCGCATTATTGTTTCTTTGATTCAGCTAACCTGTACTCATTGTTCTATTTTTCCTTGTTTAGATGGTTTTCTACACAACGAGTGTATGGTCTGCGCATTACGGGATACTTTAGTTGCATCACAGAAGAGCACCGGCAGTGCGATAAGGCCAGTCCACATAACCACAAAATTAAAATGTAAGTTTGTGTTAGCACCTTGTTTTGAGGAATTTCTTGTTAAATTTGGTTGGAAGGAATGTAGCGAACCAAGTTTTTTGAAAACTCAGCTCATGAAAAGGAAATCACAAAAAGCACTCCATGTGACTATGGAAAATTTACCCCTCAATACCACGAGATTTCTTGCATAATTATAACCATCGAATTTTCTCAATGAGCTCCGAAGAAAGCAATATTTATCACGTGAGCAAGCATTTCTCATTGCGGTCCCTGCCATTGAGGAAGCTCTCTATTGTTTTTCACCAATGTGCCGCAGAACTAAAATTTGGCCGTGGCTCAATGATCTATCTCATATATATGTGTATAAATTAGATAGTCGTGAACAATAACGATTTTTCTTAGTTGGCAGTATTTGAAACACACTGGGCTTTGCCCATTTAAGTATATAAAGTGATTGATAACTATCAAAAGAATTAATTACTGAAAATGAATTTGAATGGAGAGTGAAGAAGATTAATAGAGGTGCCAACCTGCGAGGAACTTACCTGGTCATGAACCCTAACTCATGCCAATTCCATTTGTTTTATCATGCTTTCAGGGGTGCAAAAAGATCCTTAACTTCACCTATTTCCTGCGATCTGGTGTTTTTGCCTCTGACCAACTACCAATTTGCCTCAAGTATAGACTGTATAGCCAAATGGCGGCATTTAAAATAATGGTCCCACGTTTGCTGCAATTTCTGTATTGCAAGATCAGGCATATTTTGCTCCTCTACATGCCTCTACTCAAGACTCGCTAAGAAACTCTGTTTTAATTAAAACTAAAATCCAACCTTGTGAATTTTTTTTCAACTGTTCCTTTGTTTATTTGATTTGTTCAAGTATTGGTATAAATGATTCACTATTTGTTTCAGCTATATGTAAACACTTCCAGTTTGGTCATCAAGAAGATGCCCATGAATTTCTACGTTATCTCATAGAAAGTTTAGAAAAGTCTTACCTTGCACCCTTGCAACCAATTAAGTAAGTACTGCTTCTCCACATCATGAGCCTGCAATGGGCAAGTGGATGACATTTCTACTTAGTAGCTGCCAGACAATCCTAATGTAATGTGTGTCTATTGCTCGCAAGAGATAAGTTAAGTTAGTAGACTTTTTGCGGGTAAAATCGCATAAAAATCACATTCGGCACATTTCAGAGGTCTAAAATCCACCCTGTAATGCCCAATATACACAGTTTGTGACCTGTTTTCTAAATTTACAGCATCTGCAGGCAGTTTTTCTAGGAGGCTGGCAGTCAGGTTTGCCAAGCAAGAAACTCAAAAAACCTAACTTAACTAAACAAAAAATCTCACAAACTGTTAAAAGCTTTCCTGACGTAAGATGTTAACAATTTCAAAGCTTTGGTTTTGCGGAAGGAAACAATCACTTGCGAACGAGTGAAATCATACACCAGAAAAAGTTTTGTTCGTTTATTTATGTTAAGTTTTCTTACTCCTCAGCCTCTGCAAACCGGGTCGTTGGAGACTTAAAAAACTGCCAGCAGACGCAGTAAACTTGATGAAGTGTGTTTTTTAATACATTATTAGGCTGTAACTCTAGTGTACAACAAACCCATTGCATGAAGAAACCAAAAAGTCCATTGAAAAGTTTGAAGAATCACTTTTAAAGGGAGAAAAATTGATGACAATCTGACCAACCAGACGCGGACAGTCATGATGAAGCAACTAAGCCGTATCTTAAGCTGAACTTGGGTCAATCGGTGTAAGCAGACTCCCTCTGTTACTAACCTCTCCCGAATTCACCTTAAAGTGCAATTATAAGTTGAAGAAAATTAGTATTGGGGAGACATGCTGAAACGCGGATCAAAGCTGATACAGGAAAAAATCCATTATCTTACAATTTTTCTGGATAAACCTACATTTTGTAGATTTTTGTTGATTTTCGCTGCAATCTGCTATATCCATCTAATAATTTTACCTGCTGATCCCATGAAATTCGATATGAGAACCCATTTTATTCAAATGTTTATTTTGTGTCTCTCATCCTTCAGTGTTTTCATTTTTTGTTTTGGCTCTATTTAATATGTACCTCCCCCTTTCCTGTGTTTCAGATTAGATAATTACTCTAGAGAAACAACTCCTCTCAATCAGATTTTTGGAGGTTATATCAGGACAGAAGGTAATATTTTATCTGTCGTCGTCAGTAGTGTAAAGCATCAATCATTTTCATTTTTTCAAGTAGTAAGCAGCTATTACATTAAATGTTCTTAATCTCACATTTTTTAAAAAAAACGAAGCCAGTCTCTAGTTTCTAGCCAATGCAAGGGTCATGATGCTCCCAAAAAGTACCTATAACTGTAGAAGAAATGATAAAAAAAGAAAAATTTGTTCCTTGCTGGGTCTAGTAAGTTTCTTCAGCTGAGGTATGTATTGAGATACATGCATATGAATTTTTAGGTAATTTGTATGATGCATGTTCGCATAACACTTTTCCCAGCTAGGGTATCAGTATATCCACCTAGAGAATTTTGGCACTACGATATCTTTCTTTATGGGCAGTCATAGGCATATAAATTTTGGTACAATTTAAGTATCAAAAATAGTTGCTGATCTGATGATGGCCGGGCAGTGAACGAGCGAAACACGTCTGGTTTTAAAGTTTTATTTTAATGTACATGAGATTATATTTTTTGGATAATTCTAACTGCTCAACAAACCTTTGTGTTTTCTCCCTCCTTGCATGTATTTCATTCATGAATACTTTTGTTTTCAGTAACTTGTCTGGAATGTCAATATGTGTCAACAACCTTTCAACACTTTCAAGACCTCCTCCTGGACATCCGGCAAGCAAGCACGGTAGATGATGCTCTGGAAAATTATTTCAGTAAAGAGCGACTGGATGAGGAGAATGCCTACAAGTGCGAACACTGCCGTCGAAAAGTCTCCGCCCACAAAAAGTTCTCTATTGAAAAACCGCCCAATGTCCTCTGTTTGCAGTTGAAAAGGTAACACCTTCTGTTAAATTGTACATTCACTAAAGACCATATTTACCATATGTTGGACATATTTTATAATATAAAATCGTTGGGTATTGTGTAACGAATACGCAACTCCTTCCATTTTGTAGATTCTGTACCATCCTCCATCCCTCCCGCCACTAATTTGGAGTCACTTTTCCCCCTGCCTTGCCTATCATTTGAATACTTGCACTTGTCTTGGCAGAAAGCAACATTTCAAAATTTTATGTCCAAAGTGGTGCTTTGATTGTCCGCAATGATGCACTGGTATCGCAAATTTTTATGTAGGCCAGTACAAAAACATGCTGTACCTTTAACTTTGAAAAACATGTGACCACGTGTTCAGGACTTCTCTACATTTTCTCCTTGAGCACTTTTTGCAGCACATTTCTATATTTGTCTTGTCAGCTGTTCCATTCTGCTTTATTTTTGTATTCATCCTCTGTTTTATTCCTCATTGATTTGTAATACACAGTAGGTTCAAAATTGGCTGTTGTAGGCACTAATTACGTTTTGTATATTTCAGGTTTAACACTCTTGGAGGAAAAAACACCAAAGCGATAACAATTAACCGAAATTTGGATTTAAGCAAGTTCAGACCCAAAGGAACTCACAACTCTCAACAATTAAAATATAAAATAGCTTCAATTATTATGCATTACGGAACCTCAACTAGTTGTGGACACTACACAGCAGTTGCATATTCCTCGCAAGGGGTCCTGTATGCATTTGACGATTCTTCTGTAAGTTCTCCTAAAATTTTCCACTCTCACTCTTGCATTTCTCTATTGTCTTAAAAGTATATATTTTACAAATTTGTGCATTACCATTATTTACCTGCCATGCTGAGCAGGACAAGCAACCAAGAGGGCAAAAGAATACTCTTGAATAATCCTCGGAACAATATCCATGGTGTTATCTGTTATGCAGTTGGACAATAGCGACCAAACAATCAACTATGTGAGATCCCTCATCCGCCGGTGGTGAAGCGTGGATGATCGACCATCAATATTTCCCCATTTGAAGCTACGGTAAAGAATCGATTATTAAGGTGTTCATTGTGAACAGCTTGTTTATCGATCCTCTTCCATAGGTTTAAATGGCAGATCAATCGATATATCGCAAAGCATGCTGTGCCACTGTCTTCTATGCACAGTTGTCCTGGATGGTGCTTACAAGTGTACTTGTCAATGTACTCAAATAGGTTAATACAGGTACTTAGAATTGAAAATGCCAATCTTACAAGAAGTTAAGCAGGGGGTGTAGAAAGTCTCTAAATGCCAACTGTATGCTACGTTCTGGCATTTTTGTCTTAGAGTCAAATTTTCAATATAACTTTCCGAAAAATGTCCCATCTCATGGCAAAATACTCCATTTCACCGCAAAATTTGCGGATCGCTCCTTTTATGGGGAGTGGAAAGTCTTCTCGTTTGAAAATTTCATCACAACTCTGAAACCTTACATTTGCTGTGGTTCGTGACACAAGTTTCAACAGAGAGGAAAAGTTATCAAAAAATTACGTTTGACTTCTTTTCCAAGGGAAAAATGATGTTTGACTGGAAGTCTACAACGTTGCAAACAAAGATTCAAGGTCTTGCTCTTAGGCATCGAAGTACATCATCGAATCTTTAAGTCTAAACCGTGTCCTTTACTTGCTCTCAGGTTTATTCATCTACGTTTTCAAATGTCAGCGCAACTGCCTACGTAATCATGTATGAGCTGGATCAACCCTCGCCAGTAATGAGAACAACGAAAAGCATTTCTAGTTCCAACGTTTACATGAACGGAATATCTTTGAAACAGGAGAGCCCGTCCACACACAGACCAGTAAAGAGGGAAAACTCGCCAAGCATACTCAGGCCTATCAAACAAGAAAGTTCGTCGTTGCATCGACCCTCCTTCAGTGCAATAAGTTCATCAATATCGCCCCTGGAAAGGTGAGGGAGTGAAAATTCATAAAAATATCAATATATTACATCAAACGAAAAAGTAGGGTGATTATTTGGAATTTTAAATACTTAGTTGTGAGAGTTCATGAGTCGTAGGCATGAAGAATTAACACGGAGAATTTTCTCTTCTTTGTTTATGAATGACTGAATGGAAGATAATACTAATTTCTATTGCCTTAAAAAATTATCAGTGATTTTGAACATGGTGTCCAGAAACTGTAAAAACTGATAAATAGCAGGAATTATCACGGAATAAGAAACCTCTCGGAAAATCAGAGAGAACATTAGGAAATTGGTGTGTTTTTCCATTAGGAGATCAATTTCTTTACAACTGCTGCAGACTTTAGTGGTGTTTCGCTTAAGATTTTAGACAAATGTGATCAAGTATATTCGCTTGGAAAATTGTAGAGAAATTCAATTGATTCAAAGGAAAACCTGGGTTTTTGCCTCTGAAAATGAAGGAAATATTGGGAGTCAAGAAAGTTCAAGAGCGCTAGACACCATGTTTTGGAGTTTTGTCCTATATGTCGATGAATGACTGAATGAAGAATTATATTTTTACCGCTTAAATTATTTATCAGAGGTTCTAAATTATGCTGCTATGTAAGTAAAAATTTGGAGACTGTTGTCTCTGCTCTTTGTATTTCTTCTCCATTGGTCGAGTGTCATAAGTTTTTCCTTTTGACTAAGCCACAGTTTTAAATGAGATGGAGGAATACCGAGTTAGCTGTGGTCAATATTTCCTGAGGCTGAGCTTTGAAATGAAAAAATAAAGAAAACGCTTGTCCATGTCCAGTTTTCTTAAAACTATCTGTCCGATGTAATTTTTTGGGGTAGCGTGTAAAGTGGCTTGGATTATAATTAGAGTAGCCTGTAGCATCAACTGCTAATGCAATTCAAATTGCCTGTTTTATAGGCCTGACAGCGATAAAAAATCGTGGAAGCAAGGCAAAGTGCACAACTCCAATGGGACGCACCCTCAGCCGACCCAACTTGCCCCTGCCTCATCCAACGCCGCAACCAGCGCATCGCCCTCACCAACGTCCAGTAAAAGCCTAGTTCCTTACATGTCCGACTCGGGAAGTGACAGTGACGCGAGTGACTCAGTCAAGTACCGGACTAACGGGCTGAGCAACGGTCACACGTCGCCAGTCTCGCTTTCGCAAAGTTCGAACACTCCGCAGTTTAAATTAAGTGCAAATGATAAATTGCAAAATCCTAGTCAAGAATCAGTTGCAAGTGTGAGCACAACGGTGCAATCAAACGGGTGGTTGGTGACGGACTCGCCAGTCAAGTCGAACGGGAGCGCGGGCGCTGGTGCCAAGCCCGTCGAGAGGGGAGTCGGTCATTGGAGTGTCACTGAGGCCAAGCGTTCGGAAGCGTAAGCGACTTGAATTTTTGCCTTTTTTTCTCTCTGTGCTTTGGCTTGGTATGCTTGGAGGTTGGGATTGCCAAGTTTAGTGAAATTCATCTCTTATATTGGTGTCGATGTATGATCTCATTCTTGAGAACCAACTTTAGTATCATCAGTCTATATTTTCACATTGAAACAATCAGTTTCCATAAAGTGATACATTTTTAGACATTCATCTGCTCAATATCAAGCTCCTGAGAAACTTATCGTTCCCTAATTATTTGTTAGTTTTGTCATGGCATTTGTCCATGATCGTAAGTCTCAATGAGGAAGCATAAAATTTCACGCTATTTGGCAATCCTACTGGTGGTGTAGTGGCATTTTGATGTGTAAGTTAGAGCACTCAAATCTTGGGATGAAAATTAGTAACTTATCTGTAGTATTGTGTTATTATTTGAGAAGTTGAATCTGATACAAAATAATGTTCCTTTTCCGTACCTTCTGAGCAGAATTCCCTTGAAATCAAATAATGAGTTGCATATGAGGTAGTTACCTATGCCTGTACAATGTATCTTGAGGATCTAATTATTATCCAAACAGCTACTTTTGTTTTCGGCTTTCATTCTCACTGGCACAAGTTAGCTTCATCCAGTTTCCATTCACCAAGTATGCTGTGCTCTATCTTTTAATGATTGTTTTTATGGTGGTGCTTTGTTAAGCTCCTTAGGAGCTTCTTCGCAATATATTTCTTTAGTTGAATTCCTTTTTTAATTTTATAATTTTAGCAATTTTGGTTGGATAGGCTTTTCCCAACTCCAGGTCCAAGCCTTATCTGATTGTCATTGGTTCAAGCAGAGATTCTCTGGCCGTGATGATCCAAAGTCTGATCGAGGAGAAGAGCTTCACATTGTGATACTGAATGCCTTTTACCTACTAAAAGACGTAGAGTGGTATTCTTAATTTTTCCCTAAATGTTAAGGCCTCTTTGAGCCATTAGTATTCCATTTGCACTAAGGCCATAATGTTTAAGGAACAGATATTAATATAATACCTAAGGTGAGGTAAAAAAGTTATAAAAAATGTGAGAGATACTATATGGAATGAAAGCTAATCACCAGTTGCAAAAAGTATGTCTCTCTAGGCATTTTTCATTCTGATTTTTTAATTTTTCAAGCAATTTATTTTTTCATACAAAATTTCTATTATGCTCTTACTAAAAACTACCACTTGAATCTGACCATGATGCCTCTCCTTTGTTTTGGGTCATGTCCCCCTTCCCCTCCCTTTTTTTGTTGAATCCTGAGGAGTAGTGGTTTAAGAGCTGAATGAAGTGACAGGATAAGTCCATAAAGCGAAGGTTGCTTTAACAATTCCTGTTTTGTGAGTTTCTTGGGCCTCTTGTGGTTTGGGTTCTGTTTCTATTACTGGTTCTGGGAGCAGGAAAATTTGTACATTGATTTTATGGTTCCAGTGGGGTTGATGCCCTAAGTAAGTTTTCATTTCATCTGTCATGTCATGGTTCAATGGGTATTGTGTTGACCCAGTTAAAATATTGGCCCTGCATAGTGCCATGGTTTTGGTTGGAGCAGGTGTGAGATTAAAAAGACATCTTTTAAGATGGCAGATGTATAATTTTTTTTACTATTTAAAGTGCTAATGGGGCAGTGGCAAGGAATCTTAGCAGGGTTTTAGAACAGTTATTCTTTCATAAGAACTCGTGAAAAAACTAGAAAGTTAACTACAAAATTTAAAAAATTATTTCTAAGGGAAGAAAAAGCTATTAAAATTGGACCAATCCAAAGCTGACAGGCAAGTTGACGTAGAAAGACGATGCCTTAAGATAAGTTCAGCCAATCAGCAAATGCCATTACCCCTACCTGGCGATGTCAATCAGAGCCCACCAAAGATTTTTCAAATGGGTTCCATTTTTGGCAGTTTCAAAACGAAGTTCCTGTGCCATCTACGGTTCCAAAAGTCTGACAAAAGTCCTAGAAGCCCAGTTCACACCATATTTTCAGAAAATAAATTTTTAAAAAAATGAGTGCCACTGACCCATCGGATTAACATACAGGTAAAAGAAGATAAAATGTGTCTGCATCCATCTAGGCAAACTATTCTTGGTCCCTATCTCTCGTTTGGTGAAAGCAATTATTGAATGTATCTTTTCATCGTCCATGGAAGTAACTCTTTTTCAAGTTACCAGTCAGGTTTAAGCTGCGAAACTCTAAGGTTTTTTACTTCTCACTGTTTTCCCTTCACACTTTCTCTTATTCCTGCTCTTGTATAGCTTCCTGCACTTTTCCAAAAGAAACTAGCTTTAAATCGAATCAACGTCAAAACAAATGTCTCCAGCGTCAGAATCGAGATGAATACTCAAAAATGTTATGTCAGATGTTTTCTGGCTCAGTTCTGACTAATGATTAGTCAAGCTGATTGTCCCGGAGAAAGTTTAATCGAGTAAATTTGTCGAAGCAAGAAACTGGAGAAAAGCACATAAACATCAGTGCAGGGTAAAAATATAGCTGGAACCCAATCTCTAATCGATCTCTGTGTCAGCATTGTGAATAGCTTTGTTATAGTTTAAAAAATATGACAAGGTTGGTCATCGTTCGTTTTAGGGGAACCAGTTATTCTGGGAAATAAGGAGCCTGCTGGCTAGCTGGTTTACAGAGTTTTTTTGTCAGACAACACATCTTAACTTTCATTTGGTTCTCTTTCATGAATAGTTTTACCAATGTGTAAGTGCAGGGTAACTAACTGATGAGTTGGTTTCCTTTGAACTCCCTAATATTGTTGCCAAGGCCTTTTTTTTACAAAAATAGTTGGGGAGGGGAATATTTCAGGGTGTTTCTTTCAAGCTCATGTCTCAACTTCGATTTTCTCATGTGTTTCAGGAATGACCAGTCACACACAAACGGCTCAAGTAATCACTGTTGGCGGAAACCCTTCCCACCAGAAAATGGACTAAGTAATCATATCAACGGTAACAATAATAGCAGTAACGGTAGCAGTAATCCTAACGTCAACGGCAACGCAAGTAATTGCAACGGTAGCTCATCAAAATCATCTGTACTGAGTCATTTACAGAATTCTTCCCACCTTGGATATGGGAACAAAGGTGAGTTGATGGTGTTCTCTTTTTCCTGTCTTTCTAATAATAGGCACATCTCAAATTACAGTTAAACTCTTATGTAAGCAAAGCAACAGAATAGGCGTAGTTGATTCTGCCAATTCTTGACATGCACCAAAGTCGACAAAATGAGAGAGACCTGAAGTTATCTTTGCTTAGAACCAAAAGTGACCAGCAATGCTCGGAATGGCCTTGTTATAGTTTGACAATTATGACAAGATTGGTCATCATTCGTTTCAAGGGAACCAGTTATTCTGGGAAACAAGGAGCCTGCTGGCTAGCTGGTTTACAGAGTTCCATTTCTCCAATGCTGTCATAACCAAATTCTGCTCTATATCTTTTAATGCATATTATTACTCAGGAAGATTTTTAATTTTTCAAATGCTATCAAATCATATTAATCCAAGTTTTGTCCTTTTGCTCTCCTTTTTTCTTAAATGTCTGAGCTCTGATTGTTATTCTCATGAGAGTGTTTCTTTTTTTGTTTGGTTTTGCAGTTAACTCTTGGAACGGGTGTCAAAGTACTGTAAATCGTGATGCAGAAAGGGATAGGTTAGAGTCAAATAAGCGATCCTACAGTCAAGCCTACAATTCGGACTTCGATCGGGGCAAGGTAAAGTTCAAAGTTAATTACAGAATCATCTTAATTTTGACAGAATCATAACAAGCGGATTTTCTGTGTAACAGCATTTGTGCCGTTGACCCTAGTGCTGAGAAACCAAAATAAAAAATCAAAGCTTTTTAACGTTTTTATTGTAACATGTTTAAAGCACAAGATTGCAGGCTTGTATGCGCTTTTGTGTCCTTCAAAAATAAATTACATTGCACTCAACGTCCAACGTACTCCTTGAGACACCAGGAAATTAAATCAATTAGCATGAGTAAATTTTTTAAAAAATATTTAAAATTCGATGTATTAGATTTCTGCCTCCAAAGGCGACCTTTATTCGTTGACTAGAGAGTAATTTCCTCTGAAAACTTAAATTGATTTTTGAAACTTTCTGCAAAAATGCAGAAGGTGAAACGTTCTATTGTTCAAGGTCATTGTCTCCGCTCTCTAGCGCTTGTCTGAAGTTGAAGGGGTGAGAGCCAGAAAACTGGGGATGTTCAAAAATTCATTAATTTACCCAAGTATATTCTTAATTTTCTCTCAAAACCCAGTGAATTTTCTTTGTAATTAGTTGAGAAGTTTATTTTATTTATAACGCACATCCGTCAATGAATGAATCCATCGCTCAAAGCTGGAAATTAACCTTTTGTTAACTGTTCAGCAGCATGTTGAGCAACTCGTTTGACCAAAAATTGTTCTTTTTTCAGGTGAAGAAAATGAAATTTAATAATGGTAAGTCAGATTACTCTAATGGCTATGACAAGTCGCGCTTCCAAAAAGTACATCAGCGCCCACACTACCACAACAAATGGCCAAGATCTCAACCTTACAATAACTACCGCAAACACAATAACAATTCTTTCCGGCCACCGCACAAACATAATGGTAACCATCATGGCTTCCGTGATAACTTCTGGCGGAGGAAATGATTTTAATTAAGGATATCCTGCTCGAATCTTGAGTTTTGTTGATGTAATATATGTTACTTTGTTAATTTTATTTCTATCCATGAAAATTGTCCGCAAATCGCGGTTTTTTTATTCGAAGAGGACCCTGTCTATCGATTGCTTCTCTTGACTGGTTTTATTTTACTATGTTTTACATTTTACCACAGGTTTGACAGGAATAATCATCTAAATTCTGTCTAGATTTTAAATTTATTGTTTTCTGTTCTTTTATTTTTAATCTGAAAATAAGTAGGATTAACGTCTCTCAGAATATAAGTTTGCTTTCACCTAATTTTCAAGCATTAATTTGTAGAGAAAAAAATTGGAAGAAGTTCCCTACCTCTCTTTTACCCAAGAACTCTTTTCATCATTTAACATATTATTTTTCCCTCTTTCTTGTGCATCTTTTATTCTGGAGAGATTGTCTTGCGTCTTAGTGGTCCGAGTGTTATTCTGATTTAGCTTGATGCTTTACTCTCATGGGCCTCTGATATGAAAGGAACTGAGCCACACCCAGTGACTGGGGTTTGCATTTAATACCATAGTCAACTCTCCAAGATCCAAGCTTTTGTTTCGTATGGTCTCAGTTAAAAACTTTTTTTTTATTCCACCCAAGTCTTAGTGTTCTCTGCTATTGAATTTTTATTCGTGATTTTTCCACATTGTTCATCGTTAGCAACACATTTGATGCCAAGTGTCAACTCTCAGTACGTGTCCTCTCCGTAATTTAGGTCATGAATATTTTTTCCACCTCCTTTTGTCCAGCTTTTCCATTAGTTTTTTATTCAAATCATTCTTCTCTCCTCCCAGAAATGTTTTAGTTTTTTGCTATCAATGCTTTTTCAAAAATTCAACTGTAAAAGATTTACGAACTCAACAAAACTAAATTTACCAGAGAGAACTTTGAAGAGGTTAAACCATCAAAAAACGACCCTCAGTGTGTTGTAATTTGCTGACAGAAATGTTTGCTGCACTTCACTGCTTGGAAGGTCCGAAACAGCTGATCTAGTTGTCATACATGAAAATGTTTTGGTAGCGTTGCCAGAATGTGTGTATTTTTGCAATTAAGTAGGCCGTGCCCTCAGGCATTAACTCTTGGTAACTTAATTGTGAAATAGAAGTATCTCTAACTGTCCAAGGTTATTACCGATGCTTAAAGCAAATAAAATACACCTTAAATGTGTAAATTTTCGAAAATTGAGACCCAGATATATTTTCATTTTTCTCCTCTTTTTTCAACTGTAGTTTCGTTGCGACTGATTCCTTCTTCGATAAGTTTGTCCACTTCCGTTATAATTCTAGTAACAATTCATGACTCAAGTTATCTATCACATGCGTCTGTTAAGTCTTAAGTTTACAGCACTCAGCTGTAAAATTATTCATTGCAATGCAAGAATCAAGTAAAACTGTCCAATAGTTGATGAAATAAACTGGGATGCATCAGAGAATTATCTAATCCCTGAATTCACATTTTTATGGAACATTAGTATGATAATGACAGTAAAACTGAATTCTACTGCAACCTCTTTAAAAATTCAAACTGCAAGTAACTACGCATGAAAACTCACTTAGCTTACATTAAAATTTAATGTACATAAAATTTCCTGACACAAAAGTAAACATTTTTTATTTACATTTAAGTTAATCGAAATTTGTGTCAGGAAATTTTGTATATCTTTAACTGTTTCTTCTGAAAGCTGTCCTAAATGCTGATGATGTACAGTATAAATCAACAAGTAGCTTATCTTTTTCTCTTGTCTGTGGTTGTTTCAGTTTACGCCACATGAACTTGGGAAGTTGGTTTTTTTTTTAAAAGAATAAAAATCTACCTCCTCTGAAATACTAACAATTTTGGAAAATTCCAATATTCATTGTCTGGGGCCGAAGGAAAGCACATTGTCATTGCTGTTTTGCTATATCTACAAACATTTTAATTTTTCACAGGAGAACTGTCGCATGAATTTAGAGTCTATTCTCACGAGGGTAAACATGGTTGCCACAGTCAGAGGATACTGGGAAATGTGGAGGAATTTTAAGAAGTGAGGGAAAATCTTGGAAATCTGAGGGTAAATAATGGAAGTATCAAGGAAAAATTGTCAAGTCAGCTTTATTTGCTTGAGAGAATGGGTTTGAGGTTTCGCACAAATTTGGCCTGACGATGTTTTTAAAGTATGCCTCTTTAACCATCTGGCATAGCTTTTCACCAAAATTTTACCTGGAGAATCCGAGAAGCGTGGCAACCATGGAAAGAAAAATCTTCAGGAAAATTCATAACACTGTTTTCCCGTGAACAAATAAAATGTAAGTAAGAAGCGCTGGAACAGTGCAATCCAGATATGTTCCTTCGTGCGACAGATGAAGTATTGGCCCGAAGTTTACAATCGATGGTGAATTTCGGTGCCCAATTTCTAACCAAATCAGGTGAAAAACGTTGAGAAACCTTGGAGTGAAAGATTTCTCTCATAAAATAAAGATAAATAAGTCTTATGACTCTAATTTAGGCCACTTTTATACTTTTTCACCCTTTCATTTTATATGATGTTTTAATGTGTGTCTTGTTATTTTAGTTTGACGGGATGAATTTATTTTTGGGTGATTACACTCTTGTATTTGAGTGATAGTGTTTTTCCGATGAAAATCATCAGTCTAGCCAGCGAAGTTGGCTCACTGGGGCATTTTGAGTCCCTATATACTTTTCAGGATTTTTGTTCTTTGTTTCAAGTGGGAAGTTTTTTTTTTTTTTTTGAAATGCCTCGTTTCATTTAGATTAACAATAGTTTTGGAAATAGTCATCTCTGCTTCCTTCCTCCAATTTATATTTCATAAATAGAATTTACCGACATCAGACACGTCTTCAAAGACTGCCAGCAACATTTTGGCATTGGTCATATTTTGCATTTTTCTATTCAACTACTTTGATTACTCTATATTGTCTCTGCAAAAACTGTTAGTAACTTTTTCCATATCTATCAGGAGACAGTTAAAACTCTCACCAAAGTCTTTTGGCCGTTTGCCTCCAGGGGAGGGAGATGAGGTTGAGAGAGCATGTGTCATGCTGTCTCGTTTATATATGTGAAAGAATGGATACCTGCGCCTCAAAAGCGTTATGAGGGGAAAGGGTGGTTATAAAATCCTAAATTTAGAGTTATGTAATCCATGAACAGCCTCCTCTCTATTTTTCTGGCATGGATTCTGTTTTGTCCATAATGGTGTCCATGAAGTTATCTACATGTCATCATAAAAGGATTATGTAGGTTTTATTTGTATTTTGTTGTTTCTTCAAAATGTTTGATTCCATTATAAAACATAAAAAATAATTGTTTCAGGGCTTTTGTGTCAACTGCTGTGAAATTTTTCTCTGAACATCTGTTTGCCAAGATGAGCATTATTATTGCAGGTTATCGAAGAAAATCTCAGTGCTCATAATAAATAAGGGTGACTTTTGTTCCACACTTAGAATTTGATAGTTTTCATCCTAATGCAATGCCCACTGTATCAAAGGGCTTAATTATTGAGTGTTAGAAATATGTTGTCAGTGGTCAATCAAAATGTCTCTTTCATAAAGATACCAACTTGAATCTCTTTCAAAATAAATATCCTCATGGGTTTAGCGTTTTGTTTGTCCAGAAACTAGGTCATCAACTAATCATTCCAAAACCAACTGAAAGAATAGTGTAAACATTCGAGTAGGTTATCTTTTTGATATAAATCTATCAAGAGTGCCACAGATCATTTTCTCAGTAATGAGAACAGTCTTAACTCTTTATTGATTTGTAAGTTTCAAAACAAAAAAGAAAACTTAATCTTATTAAGTAACTAAGCTTTTTCAGATTTGACTGTTCGGGCATTGCTTTAGGGTGATCACAGTCGTTTTTAAACTGCTTTATAAGAAAGTCATACTGTGAGCAACCATTGTAACTATGTTTTAAGAAACTGCGAAAGCCACCTAATCTGAGTGTGTTCATTTAAGCTAATAATTTTTAATTGTCTGTAAGAATTTCGTTTTATTCAACTGCTCAATGTTCTTGGTTTTATTTTCCAACTTACAATTTGCTGCCCGAGAAAACCAACCACAAAGCGATTGAGCTTTCCATCATGGTTTTATGGGATGTTGCTCTTTGAGGCTTCCTGGATGTTTTGTGGCGGAATCCTGGAAACCATCTAAATAGTTGCTTTAATTTGTGCAATTTTTTAAAGATTGATACATTATTTTTAAAAAAAAGAATAGAAGTTACAGGCACTGTTTTCATTGGCAAAATTTTCTGTTTTATATTTTTTTGTGTCCGAGGGAAAAATGTCCTCCTAGTGAATGTTCTTGATGATTTACCAAGAAACCAAAGTTTGTCTTTAATACCAATGGTCATAAAATTTATTGTCATTTGACTTCTCTTTTTACAATTTTCCATCACCGAACAATAGGGCTGCATTCTGCCATAGGAACTATAATTTCTGGCTCAGTTTCGAAACAATTTATGCACCATTAGTTTCCCCATGCACACAAGTGTTGTTACGGATGAGCCAGAAAATGTAGTTCTTTATTGCAAAATGTAGTCGGATTGACACAGTTGTACCCCTCAATTTCCTGATCTACACTGATTGACTACCAATTTTTGTGAAGAGAATTCAATTGCAGGAAACAAATAATTCCATCCATTAATTAAATGTTATCTTTTATCACGTAAACCATATGCATTATATTGTATAGTTAGGGTTATAGATACTAATTTTAACTTGTATCCTAAAATTCTGTCTACTGAATGGTGTTTCGTAGAATTCCTAGGATTATTGAGTGAAGTTTGAAATTATGATGATTGCCTAGCTCTTACTCAGATATCATAATAATATTAAATATTAATCTTGAGTAAAAATCACCTCACAGCATAAACTGTGAATTTATAGTAAATTTTTTTTTATGAAACTATTTCTAAGGAAAGACAGGATTACGTTCTCTGAAATTTCCTTACTTTTGTTATTTACTTTTAAAGTTGAATTTTTGGTCTTACTTGTCGCAAGTCTGACGTTCTGCGGCTACATTTTTTTCTCTGCTGTAAGCTATGTAAGAGTTTCTGTTTTTTTTTTTTTTTTTTTGTCGCCTTGCGAACTGAAGACTAATTTATAACTGCGCATAACTTTGTGACTCAGGAAGTTTACACGTAATACGTGGCAATGGTTTTTTTTTCTTTTCAAATTACGTCGGCCCTGACCTGACCAAGGTCTACAACTGGATGAACCACCAGTTTAGCGTCTAAATCAACCAATAGAACTGATATTGAAATTTTCTCAAACTCTCTTTATTATGCTGCCTTTAACATTGTCTCTTGTATCCTGGCCGCAATATTTTATTCTTAAAAGGTATTTTATTACCTTATTTTTTGTTCAGTGATTCATTTATTTTGTGGAGGTCATGGAGGGCTTTTTGCTCGACTTTCATTTTAGAAGTTTTCTTTCATTTAAAGGCCATTGATTCTAAAAAAATTTGACGATGAGCAGGAAAAAAAAAAAAAACGATAACTAGGTATGTCAATTGCCACTGATGAATCCATCTTTCTCATCATACTTTCGTCTTGTACGTATCAAGTCTGGAAAGAATGCAGACATTGTTTCATTCACCCGTGAATTTTGAATCACAGTCTTGTTATCAATGGCCTCTGCTCCTGTTCAGAAAACCGTCAAACTTTGTGTTTAATTTATTGATTTATGATCATTACATGTTGTTATTCATAGGTATAAAAGGAAATTGAATTACTACCTATTTGTGTATATTTTGTATAAATGTATTCTAAATGTTATCCGACTAACTTGTACAGTTTTTTGGCAAAATTTTGTAAAAAGAAGGAAGATGAAATTATTGTCAATCGGTTATTTTGTATTTTTCTTGAAAAATTGTAGAAGGCGTAACAAATGAGATCGAATACATCTTCGGTTTCATGTAACAACAATAAAATCTGAATTGTCTGTCTGAATATTCAAAGAGTTATTTTTTTCACCTCTCTTTTCTTCCCGACAACAGTCAAACAAAGTCTAATGAACAGTTACGAAGCAATGGATGTCTTTTTAAATATTTTTTTAAGTTTATGTGAGAGTCATTTTTTTTTTTCTGTGTTAAGAGCTCAAAGGCTTTATACTTTTACGCCATCCTTCTTATATTGTTACTTCACTTCTGATTTTGATTAAAGGTCCTGTAGTGCATGGAACCGGGGTCTAAGTCGAAAGTTCTCCAATTGGGCTGGAAGCAAGCTGCTCTGCTTGGAAGTTATCCGCTGAGTCCGATTTTCTGGTCCAAAAAGCTCCACGAGTCTGCTGGTTCGCATGACCGGCGTATAACGCACATTCTGTGAATTTTCACCTATCGGTCAAAGTGTTTTTGAAAGTTTCTCGACTCAGGAAGCCTCGTGGAGCCTTGGGGCCACGTGCAATCGATTCCACGCCTTGAACAATGTAGGATACAAAACAAATCTCGAAATTTTTTTCCCTGTCCAAAATCGAGAAAATCAATACAGGCAGGTTATATGGACTGTTCGGTAGAAAATTGCAAATGCTGGATGTAATATAAAAAAAAGAGACAAATTAAAATTGAAAAATAGTTTGCTTTATTCGTGTAGGCTTGGAATCAATCTTTTCATCAGATGTAAAAAAAGTTATCTAAAAAAACTCTGATTAAAATTAGACTGAATAAATTTTAACAGATTACTTACATGGACAAATTTTCGAACATTTAAAGTAATAAAAATAGGAGACACCGCTACGTTGGTGTCTTATAAGCTCGAAATTGATTACAGTAGCTACCTTAAATGGACGGACGTTACAGACTTAAGAACATCTTTTTTATTTATGATTAAAATTTACCAACTTAAGTTACTCGAACACGAGTATGCTAAGAATGCATCACAGTTAGTCTTGCTGATTTGCAAAAATTACAATATTTCAAACTTTGATAAACTACAGCTGCAACAAATTAATGAAATGAAAGGAAGGCCCATAAAAACGCTGATACTTCGAAAATGAGGCAACAGAATATGAACTACTTTCTTTACATTTCTGATTCACGAAATGTTCTAAAGGTAAGGTGCACACTTAAAATCATGCAATAAAAATATTTCAGGGCCCTGTAGGGTTACGAGTATTAACACGGATGATACAAAACAAAAATTTGTAATTTTTTATAGATGCCAAGATCAATAAAATTTAACATTGTTACAAATTAAACTTTAAAATGTCTATAACAAAATACCTTTGGGTGGTTGAAAATATTGCCATGCTAAGGAAGAACACTGTATGAGTCTGCAGATGTTGCCATGTACCCTTCAATAAAAACCGAATTTACGGGGAAAATCGTGAATATTTTGCTTCAAATTTTTTAGCCAACTATGTTGCCAATGTAATTAAATCTTTGAAAACTTCAAGGAAAGAAAAACGTAACTTTCCTCAAAAGACCTATTATATTCAGGGAAATATGGCAACTCTCGAATGCTCTTAAGGCGTTCTTCCTTAGCACAACAAAATAGGACTCTCTAGAGAACTATTAATTTAAAATAGCCATAGGGAGCCTCAAAATGGCAGCTATGTACAAAGAGATTAACAAAAGAGTATATAATTATTTTTTCCTGTAAACACCTCTTTTTTAAAATAATCTGAAAACAAGAACAATAAATTGCAGCGCAAACTTCACATTAGTTGGACGAGAGGAAAAATATGCGTCAATTATGAATTAAGAATATTGTTGATCAGTATAAACTTAATTGAGGTGAATTCTTTCACCTTACATCTCATATGATTATCAAATTAATAATAACATTGTAAGTACTTGAGTTACTGCATTCATGCAAAAAAAAATCAATAGAAATTTGCTAAATTATGTGTGGCAGCAGCCACCTCTGAACAAAGTCTTTTGAGGACCATGGGGAATTATTTGAAAAAAGGCACAAGATATTGCTGACTGATCTCAACATTGGATAAATTAAAGCTCTCTGTAATATCCTTTTTACAGAGGAAACAAAAATGCAATTGGACTGAACTTATTAAGATGTTCATTTTATAGATGAAGACAAGAATGCTTGCATACGAACATTAATCTTCAAAAGAGAAGGGGTTTGTTGTTTTTCTTTTTAAAAGGGCCAGCCAAATTGAAGAAATAGCTTCCTGGAAATTTCCAATAATAGGCGCAGGAACCCAAATTCTTTTTTTCTGTTTTTAAATTAAAAAAATAAAAATATAAATAATAAAAAGGAGGCCCCAAGGTGCAAACAACTGTAAGTAGGTGAAATCTGGAGTTTCTAGATCAAATTAAAAATCATGATTTCATTTACAAATATTGTCATACATATTTCAGAGAAAATTTTAGAAATGAGCTGTTTTAAGCTAGGAGATAAAAAAAGTACATTAACGGTAAACTTGATCTGGTACGTTACTAGTGGTGTACATCATTATGCCATTATGTTACAAAAATTACAATTGTACACATGAAAATATTACATCTCAAAAGAGAAATAAAATAAGGACATATTCAAGACTTCCAATGAATTTAGGTTCAAAGGTTCTTCAATTTATCATCCAAGAACTGAAGTTAGACGTTTTGTAACATCTGAGAGGAGAGGAAAAAATATAATCAAGCAGGCTAAGAGGTAAAATATAATGATGATCTGAGTGCAGAACCTCATATCTTCATTGCGAAGTTTCAAAATTTTTGTTCCTATTTTACTTTTTCGAAGAGAAAAGAGCCAATGAAATAGCTTGAATTTTACAAGAGAATAAAAATCAGGTAAGTTTTCAGATATTACTTTCACTTGTTTCTCAAGGAAAAAATAAAGTATGAAAGAAAGTCTGCAGGAGGAGATACGTGGTTCCGGACTTGGTCATCGATAGCTTGTTCAGCAAAAAATAAGATAACAATATTATATGAGATATCTGAGGAGATAATGTTCTTTCAATGTTGCTCAGTTTGCATCGACAGATGCGGAATATACTTTTTTATATTTTTGATGGTACATTACGTTCATGCTTTAGAACCGAGCACGTACAGTTACAGTTAGGATTTCATATTTAGTAATGGGGGTCACTTGAAAATCTCTCAAGGCAACCACATCTAAAACAAGTAGGGAGAGCTGCTTGACCGATAATTTCATTCCTCATCTAAGAATCTAAAAATTTATTCCACCAGAAGGGATAAAAAGTAAATAGTTGCTGCAGACTGAAAAAAATGCATTATCTTACAAGATAAAATGTTTGGAGAATCTCCATACATTTCGGGTTTTCCAATGTCAATGGTTAATCTAAAAGTAAAATAACTTAAGTCTATCAAAAAGGCACATACTTCATTCATATGGCTATTTCTATATCACAAAACACATTAATGCAGAAATTTTACAAAAGAAAATACAGTTATTACAGCAGAAGTTGATTCAGAAAGATTTCTTGGAAAATAAATAACAAAAAAAAGTATGTACAATTGCTAAAATATGGAATCCGCTTGGGACAATCTATAGAGAAGAGTGATTTGCTCACAATCAAATTATTTATTGATCTAAATTAATCATTTATTCTTTATGTACACAATTTTAAATACAATCGAATTCATATTTCCAACAGCATTAATTGCTGGGAACATAAGAGGAGAGGCTTTCACCTCAGAAAAATTGGGTTTTGTTGGCTTTCAATGGAGAACTACTAATAAATTAAGTTTTGCATTCAATTTGAAGAAATTGAATACACAAAATAAAATCAGTAAAGCAATACTTGGCAGAGGAAATTATGTCATTTTGCCGGCTTAACCGAAATGAGTAAAAAATGGAAGTCTTTTTAATTATTGGAGGGAGTATTCAACAATTTCTCTGCCATCTTTGGCATTCTGATTAAAAAGCTGGTGACTGATAAGGTACAAACTAAACCACCGCGTTAAATTTCTCCTCTTCAAAATTTTAGAGGAAAAGGAATTCATGCAGCAGCAAATTTTGAGATTAACTCCTTAGCGATACATTATTTTGTGCACTAAACACTAATTGTATGGTAGACAAGGCGTATTAATGTTGTTATTTATATTTCAACTATATAAAAATTGATAATTTTAACTCATTATACGCACCTTCCTTGGGAGTTGATTTACAAACTCTTCGTTGTGTAAATATTTTGCTGAATAATAATGTGAAGAAAGAATCTGTAACACAGTGCTTTCATTTGTAACTTATCTAGTGTCCCATTGTTGTACTTTCTCTTCATGAATAAAGTTTTGTATGGCGTAAACCTCAACTGAAGAACTAGAGCAGCAGTGAAGAAGGTAAAATTTTTACCAAGATAAATACAAATCAAATTATGGAATATTTAAAATTTTTGATCAAGTTAAAAGGAACAGATGTAATTCTTTTGGGAAAGGTGTAAAAGCATTTCCCGAGAGAACATTCAAAAAGTGTTTGGCAGTGATTTTGGAATTATTCTCAGCTAATTTAAAAAAAATACATTTCTAAATCGGTGATCAAAGGCATACCTATGAGACCGGACCCAACTAATGGCCTTGAAAGGTAAAGCCCATCTACATTTCGGTTGCGCTGTAAAAAAGGTTGCGCTATATAGCACAGAGCTGCCCAAAAAGAAATACTTCCTCAGCCTGTGGCTTCATTAATTATTGTAATTGACAGACAGAGCAATTAACATAGCTTATTAAGAGAAAGTGGGATGATCCTAAAATCAGTCACGATCATAAAACTTCATCAAGTTTCTAAAATTGACGAATCTCCTTTTTTAAAGCTTGAGGGGAAAGTGGAGTAAATATAATCTTACAGGTAAAAAAAAAAAAACCATAGTGCTGTAAATGCTAGAGGCAATTCGGATCAATGACATTTGGCAAATTTTACATTTTCAAGTCTGTTCAATTTTAAAACCTCTCGCACATTGAATAAAAAGGGAAATTTTTAAGTGACCATGATGCTTTGATTTTTTATTGCATGTCAAAGAAATTGGAGACATACAAGTCGTTCGTGCACCAAAAGTAGTTCTTGCTTGTGGCCACTTCCACCTTCAGTACAAGTTCAGAATCATTGACTTCTAGTCAACTCAGAAAAGGCAACAGGACAAGGAAAATTAATGGTGCATGATTGCTTCAGTGAAACAGATTGGATAAAATGGCTTTACAATGATCATGAACTTCACATTAGATGAGCTGTGCTTACATTCCACCACTAATGGATGCTCATTAAATCTATTGGACTATTATTTTGCCAAGATTCATACTCATCAGAAACTCAAAGCTCAGAAAATCTGAGTAATGTTTGTTTAAAGTGTAAAATAATGGAGGATTTCAATTGTTCGATGTTAATGTCCAAGAGAATTTAACAAACGACAGTAATGATAAATGCCTCCACTCTTGTAATTAAAATTGAGCAAAATCTCTGAAACTAAGAGAGCACGCTTTTGGCAGTTGATTGAAATGAAATTGGAACAAAGAACGACCATTTGCATTTTGCCAAATTGTGACTCTGTCACTTAACTCTGCACTAAAAACAAAATGATAAGTACAAAAACACCATCTATGTACATAATTGAGACATTTTGACTTAGCATCTTTGATCTCAAAATATTTGTTCACAATAAAAGTTAACACTTGCATTTATGAAATGCTGCTGAATTTATATGTACATGAAAAGCCTCCCTCTAAAAAAACGCTGTTCAGTACGAAAATCTTAAAACCTAATTTCGTACAGTTTAACACATAAAAATAAGGAAAAATTTATAATTTACAGAAAAACACAGCTTAATCATTCATTCATTCATTGATCAATTCTTTGATCCGCATAAATTTTACGTCTGCATGCACCACACTTGCCTGGTTATTTACAAAAATGGGAAAAATCCAGAAAAATTTAAACACAATGTACAAAAAAAAATTAAGGTAATTAAGTACTTCTAACTTTCTATCACAAGATGAGATGAAGTTACGACCCGCGTTCTGTAATATAAATATTTGAACTCCTCCAAACTTTGACTGAGGATATAAAAACTTGGGAAAGATCACAAATTATAAATAACAAATTCAGCCGAAAGAGGACTTAAATCAACCGTTCTTCTGGTGGAGGTTTCATGACATTATCTAGCTCAACGCGAGGATTGCAATACTCTTGTGAGCTTGGGCTGTATGTGCCTCTCATTGCTCGCTTTTTCCGAGCCATCATTACAAACACTGTCAGACTAATTGCTGTAGCTATTATCAAAATTGCTAAAATTGGTCCGATGATAATGGCAATATCAGAGAAGTTTGATGCACTATACTCAGGAGACTCTGTGCAGTTTTTACCTGCATGTCCAGGTGGGCAGATGCATTTATAGTCGGAGATATCAATACAGACTGGCTCACAGGTTCCGCCATTTTGACAAGGATTGAACTCTGCACACGGATTGGCCATCTCACAATTGTAACCACAATCATTGACATCGCACTCACAATGATAGCCACCATTTTCATTTACGCACTTGCCTTTCTCTCCACACTTGACTGTCAACAACATGCATTCATTGATATCAATTTCGCAGGTGGCACCTTCATAACCTGTTCCTGTGCAGTTGCAGGAGAAAGAATCTATGCCATCTATACAGTGACCACTATTCTTGCATGGACTGTTCTCACAATCGTCAATATTCTCATCGCACAGCTCACCCCTGAACCCAGGTGCGCATTCGCAGAATGGCACTGGACGATTTGTGAAACATGCTCCGCCGTTCTTGCAAGGCTCTTGCATACAGTATGGAATGTCACAGTAAGTTCCGACGTAGCCTTCCGCACAGCTGCAGGTGAAATTATCGCTAGTTTCTGGATTTTTCACATCTATACAAGTGGAGCCATTTCTGCATGGGGCATTAGAACATGTGACTTGCTTTAACTGATCACAGATCTTGCCAACAAACTTTGGCGTACAAGAACAATCAAAATAGCCGACAAAATCAAGACAAGTGCCCCCATTGAGGCAGGGATTTGACTCACACTCGTTAATTTCTGAGTCACAGAGCCATCCTTCCCAACCTGGTGGGCAGATACAGGTGTAGTTAGCAATACCATCAACGCAAGTGGCACTGTTTTTACAACCACTGTTGGCACATTCATCGATATTGACGGAGCAGTCATCTCCTTCGTAACCTGGTGGACAATCACAGTTGTAAGACTCAACAATGTTAGTGCACTTGCCTCCATTCAAGCATTCTGAGGGGGAGCAGAGGTAACAGCCTAATTCTACGTCTGGCTCACTGTCATCATAGGTTGTCAGGGAGAAATAGTCTCGCAGGTTGAAATAAGAGGAGTTAAGTTGTTTCGGGGTGAAGTATGGAAGGAGCAGCCCACCAATTCGGATCTCCCCGATGCAGCCTTTGTAATATCCACTGGACATTTTATAGTGATACTTCTCGACAGATGACATTGCCATTTCTGGGAATGAAAAGTCGACATGGTTTGTACTGTCACCATCTTCTGTAATGTAACTATTCCTATCTGAAACACCCGTTTCACCACCTCCGACCATGACGAAACCATTAATTAAGAGATTTTCCCACTGGCTGCTGGAGAAATTTGTAGGTGGGAAAGAGAGACCGGGTTCGTCAGAGCTCTCGATGAAACCGCCTTGGATACTATTGTTGCCAATTTTGAGAATGACAGATGTCCACCCTCCGTCTGCTTTTTCTTTGCCGAATTTTCGAACTTCACGACTACTATTCGGGTCCAATTTCCAGGCCACAGAGATCTGAAATCCAAAATATTCTAATGAGTTTTAACAAACAGGAGCTACAAGGAATCAGATGAAACGAAGCAAAAATTAATAACATAAATACTAGAAGTAGGTGATTATGAAGAAAATTAGAATGTTAATTTTGAAAGACAACCTACAATGGCATTAAGGATGATATAAATACTTCAAATACGCTTCAAGTAACAGTTGTTTAACGGTTTCAGTAATTAAATTTCATTTACATTATCAAAGTTCTCAGAATTTTTATAAAAAAATTCCAGCTGATATTTACCTGATCCTTGAATACATAGATGGAAAAGTAGATGCGGTCTGAATTGTAGACATTCAAAGAGTTAGAGATGTGTAAAATCATTCCTCCATAGCGACTGCGGTAGGAGAACTCGATTGAATTTAATGGGACAGACTGCTCGCCGCGAGATAAAGTATATTGCAATGACGTGTTACCACTTCCATCGAGAGTCAAGTTAGCGACACACTCAAATCCGTGATGCAAGTTATGACATTCACTGTCCAAAGGACAGTCTTGCAGCTGACAGAATTCCATTTCTTGACAGGTTTTACCTTTGTAACCAACTGGGCATGAGCAACTGGAAATGAAAGTTTCAATATAGAATCTCATTTGAAATCCAAACACAAATCTTTAGAAAATGAATGAAGTGGGTAAGTTCCATGAGTTGAAAGCAAGATAAAGTGCACTGTAATATTACAGTCAAACTCAGGTTGACTGAAAATATGAAACATTAATGACTTATTTCTGGTGATCACAAATTCTTTGTGTTTTGAGGATGATTTATTAAAGAATTACGCTTCTAAATGGCGAATAATTTTGGCTGCGTAAGTAGCAGAGAGAAATAGAAATCAGGAGGGTTGGTTGATTTTTTTTCTTCTTCAACCCCTAGATTTTATACTTAAATGTTATTTTTGATTTTAAATAAAGCAGCATGAAAGCTTTATGAAATCTTTCAACTCTGGTCATTCTCCAAAAGAGTTTGTTTTATATAATTTCAAAATTATCAGCCTTTTGCTATGAATTTGCCTATGAATTTTAAGATACCATTGTTTAAGCAGTATGCAGAGTAGGATTGCTGATCCGTGTTCCTTATTTTAAGCATTTTCAATTTCCGTCAAAATCCCTAATTTTACAGAGAAAATATTATTAAGATAGCAAAAAAATACATGACCCGCTTTTTGCTTCTTCTTTTTACATTTTTTTCAACAAATAAATAAATGATTTGTGAAATCAAATGTACTGTGAAGAATACTATCAAAAGTAAAAATGATCATGACTATTACAACAGAATATACTGGTTTGGTGTTCATCTAGAAGCAGAGGCTATAAGCCATGTTTGGCCAATTTAAGGACAATTTATTTTGAAAAAGGATAGGCATTTAAATGAAGGTTTGTGAATTTTTCACGGCACTACTAAAAATCGTTCAGTTAAAAAATGAGAAAAATGATTGGTAAAACCCGCAGGATGAAACTCATGATCAAAAGAAGGGACTATGCCTGAAATAGTAGATCAATTATTATTTAAGGTTTTGCAAAATCTAAGCCCAGCAGCAATGTTCAACTTTGGGAGAAAATGATTGGCTTTTAAAGAAACCTTCGCTACTGATGCAAAAACTAAATGAATGTAGAGATTGAAAAATAACTTAGGAAATCAATGAGAGAAAACCAAAGATAGAAATACAAATTGGG